AGCCAACACTGTGTAAGAATCCTGATGCACAGCTGTGTGGTATACATTATATTATGTTTCCACTACTCCTTTCCACTAAGGAGACAGGCTGAAGAACAGCATGCATGTTTCTTAATGTTGGGGCGCCCCCTTTTAGACACAGCTAGCATAGTTTTGAAGTTTCCTCAAGGACCTCAAAGCATACCATATTATTCCAACAAGCTCTCTTCCGGCTTCATGCATTTACAGTCATGTGAAAAAGAGGTTTTAACAGCACTCTGTGCAGTTTTGTGAATGACTAAGTGCACACCATGATTCAGCTGCTTGTAGAAACACCTTTGATATTTAAGTATTCATTAGAAACAAGCCTCAGATAATTGGACCAAAGAAATTGACACACCTTTCAGCCAAGAAAACAATAAAAATATGCTTCTGTAAGTTCATTTTAGTTTAATGTTTCTTCTCCTTCTCGTATTTTCAGTTTTTATCTGTCACACTAACACCCAATACGCAAGCTTGAGCCTGAGGAGAGTTACTGACGATGGGATATTTTGTGGAACACGCTGACTCTTGGCTTGTTTCTTTAAGCCAAGAGGCAGCAAGCATTCCTTGTGAAATACAGGACAGTTAGAAAATATAAGGACAATAACGTCTTTCAGTCGTGTTTTCTTTGTGTACAAAAATATACTACCTTGGTTTAAAAATACAATCCAGAATATCTTAATAATTGTTTAACGAGTCTCCAGTACTAGTCTATGGTTTTGCAACTTTCTACAAGTTTGTCCCTCGAGTGCCCCCGTAGAAAATGTCTGGGACGTAGGATGTAGGTGGTGGTCAGCCATATTGTCTCTGATACAGCAGAAATCATACACTGGCACGGGCGCACCGGTGAAGGAGGGAGGCGAGGACTCTTAGTTTGCAGAAGCCCTCATTATTTGGAAGCATTTCGGTCCTAGAACTGATCAAGGGGGTAAATACCAGCCAAATTTTGTGTTCACTGTTGATTTAGCAAAAACAGCTTTTCTGTTGGAATCTAATGTTAGCCATGATAAGGTTAGCAGGCTATTAGACAGGGCCTGCCCAGAGCCCATAAGTTAACGAAACCTCAATACACAGAAAGCAGTACCGGTCTTGGATTTAACGAACTAGATCAAGTGCTTGAACTATCGATAAACACAATATCCACCGCATTACATTTGACTTACCGAATGTCGAATTCAAACGAGTACGCAAATTATCTAATTGAAAGATAACATGACTCTAGTCCACGTTACCGTTATATCTAGTGTTGCGGTTTTCGGTGAAAGGTGGTATGCGAGCCTTGTGCAAAAGGTTAATTCAATTTGGCAATACTTAAATGTGCTAGAGGACTACTTAACTCCTCCATCTAGCTAAAGTTAGCGGGATTTCTATTGAACCCACGAGTTTATCACCGGTTCATCTGAAAAAAGGTCCCCGGTTCATGATTCTTCGTTGATTATAAGTGAGGGACGATTCATTTCTTAAAGTTAAGTTAAATTTAGGAATATATGCGGAAAGGTACATTCGGGATGTTTTTGTATTTACCCTATATGGAAGACTGTGTCAATCACGTGTGAAAGAGAGAGCTAACGGTTTTTTTAATCCCCAATGGTGAGCAACCTATCAGTCAAAACGAAGGGTCATAAGCTGAAGTGATAACATCCAGTTGGCGTTATATACATTATGTTGCTTTTACTTGTTTGCCTGACATGCGTAAGACCTTGAGTGATATCCCATTATTATTATTATTATTATGGTTTCAACTCTAATGGAAAAGGTTTTCACAAGTTTAGCACTGTTTATGAGAATTTGTGACCATTGTTCCAGAAGTGCATTTGTGAGGTCAGACACTGATGTTGGACATGAAGTGCTGGTAAAGTTTGAGGCCAGTCAACTTCTTCTACACCAACTTAACTCATCCATGTCTTTATGGACTGTGTGCACTAGTGTGCAGTCATGTTGGAACAGGAATAGGCCATCTCCAAACTGTTCCCATAAAGTTGGGAGCATGAAATTTTTAAAAATGTCTTTTTATACTAAAGTGTTAACAGTTTCTTTCACTGGAACTAATGGACTCGTGAAAAACAACCCCACATCATAATTCCCCTCCAACGAATTTCACATTCGGCACAGTGCGGGACAATTCTGGCAACCACCAACCCTAGACTTGTCCATTGGATTGCCAAACAGGGAAGTGTGATTTGTCACTCCATGTCCAGCTTAATGCTTTACAGCGCTGTCTCCAATAATTTACATTGTGCTTGGTGATGTAAAGCTTGGGTGAAGCTGTTTGACCATAGAAACCCATCCCATGAAGTAGGGGTGGGCGGTATAAATGGTATATGGTAGAAACGATATGAATTTGGCCAATTGTAGAGATTTTGACTACACCGCTCTACCGCGATAGCGCATGTTGATGGTGTCATCAAGCTGCACCTGTTTTGGTCGAAAGCATTGCAGCGGCTGCAAGCAATATTATCTGCAAATTACAAAAGTCACTGCTGTTTAGTTTTCTGTCTTCGTTTATGTTGGAAGTAGGGCTGCCACAAACGATTATTTTGATAGTCGACTAGTCACCGATTATTTTTGCGATTAGTCGACTAATCAGATCATCATCCATTGGACGTACAGCGTACAGCTTATTGCACCAGAAGCATCTGGTCTTATATAACTATCATTAGCTTACAGCTTGAAGTGTTTGTGCTAACTAAAAATAAAGACAAGATGGTAGTTTATTAATTTTTAATGAAATTTGCAGATTGTTTCGGTGAAGTTTAATAAACTCCTTGCTTTCTAAAATATAACAGGACACCGGAGTATATTCTCCAGCGTCTCACACTTCTGACAATCAGCTGTCTGCTTGACAGTTTTAGCTGTGCAAAAACTATAACTTTAATCTCAGCCAAACCGATTTACTCAGGAACAAATAAAATACTAAAGAAAGCCAAACAATAACATTTTTAAGTTATCTAAGTGACTTATATATATGTTTAACCTGACTAGCGAAAGACGGCGGTGGGTTTGAAAACGATTTGCCGGGAGTCCGGTGTTCTCACGGCTCTAGTTAGCCTTGCCCCCGCCTCGCTATTGAGCTAGTGGGTAACAGATGTCTCCGAAAACGTCGGAGCGCTTTTGAAAATACGTGGTGTCTTGATAAACTGAGCAGATATTTGAGATTTACACGGCTACATTCTCGTCTGAAAATATGTTAAACGTTTATTTTGTGACCCAGAAAGAATAATAAGAGTAAAGTTAAAACTAACTAGCTGCCACCATTGTTGACAACTGCGCTGGGCTGCGCTATGAATTCTGGGACACAGCTTCTTCTTCTTCGGGGTTTAACGGCAGCTGGCATCCTTGTACATGCAGTGCTGCCATCTTCTGTTTCAGTCCGTTATTACACTCTTAAATCCTACTACTCATTCCTGCGTCCTTTGTGATCTTACAAAGCTTCAAACGATGCGTCGACTATTAAATCAGTCGTCGACGATTTTAATAGTCGACATAATCGTGACTAGTCGACTAATCGTGGCAGCCCTAGTTGGAAGTGATAGCAGAGCTTCCCCCTCCCCCCCCCACCCGAAACCTCCCTGTCAGAATATGCTATAGCATGTTTATGTGGAAACTAGCGAGTAGGGGTGGGTGGTATAAACGGTATACGGTAGAAACAATAGAAATTTGGCCAACGGTAGAGATTTTTACTATACCACTCTACCACAATAGCGCATGTTGATGGTGTCATCAAGCCGCACCTGTTTTGGTCGAAAGCATTGCAGCGGCTGCATACAACATCTGCAAATTATGCCGGGCAACAGAAATAGCAAAGAGACGAAGTAGGGCTGTTCGATATAACGATATATATCGGATGACGATATAAAAACGTCTATCGTTTCATTTTAGCTATTGTTTGTTTCGTGGTGTCGCAAAATAAACTGTTTACGGCAATATTTTTTCATTGTTTTGATGGTCACTGTAGTGGTTATATTAATTTCTTAAAATTCTCTCTTTCTCTTATATTTAATATAACCACACTACGGACAGACAAGCACCTGTTTTTATGCGTTGTGGTTAGCAACAACGACAGTAAAACCATCGCGTGTCCGCTTGCTTATGTTCCACATAAACCTTTCACAATAAAGCCCAAGATCCTGTTGAGACTTTTCAAAATAAACTGAATCACGTGAAAGAGCAGATTATTTACGGATGAGAAGCAAAAAAGAGCCGCCAGGTGCTAAAAAATAAACCTTAGACTCAAACGTTAGAACAGGCTTTTCCCCGCAGCACGCCGTGTAATAAATACTCACAAAGAAAACTGCGGCCTTTACAACTTACGTCTAAAAATGTATCGTTTCATGCATCGGTTAAAACACTTGACACATGACGTGCAGCTGGAAACACTTCAAGCAAGACGAGCTGCCCAAGATTCACAGAATTTACAGAAAATTTTACATTTTTGTGATTTATATCGTTATCTGGACGATAGAATTCTTATATCGGGATATGAGATTTTGGTCATATCGCGCAGCCCTAAGACGAAGCACTTTTGGAATATGGGGAAAGACAAAAACTGTGCTTCCTCCACTTCCATACCATTGATTTATTAATGCTGAATTCTCTCGCAGCTGCTCTATTCCCATGTTGTTGCAGTTTATTAATGACTAACCTTTTCTCAGTTGTTCTCCTGACTGAAGTTTGGTCCGTTTACAGCATCCTGCCATGCGATTGCATTTGTTACCTAACCACCAGAAACCCTCACGTTAACTTTTATCGAGTGGAAAAAAGTTAATGTTCATCTTTCAGCTTCACTGTGCTAATGTTATGCTAACATAGATGTTTTGCTAGCGATCACGTAGGAGATCATTATATAGCAGCTAGCCCAACTTCAGTAACCCTACGAACGTCACTGCTGTTTGCACATGCACATAAAAACAGCTGCGTGTTTAAGTGAAAATACATTGATGGATTTTTTTTTTCTTTTTTGCACTAATGAAGTTGTGGAGTTGTAAAGTATTTTGTCTTGCGTCAATTATACTGTCAGTTATATTGTTATCGCAAATTTTCAAATATATATTGTGATAAATATTTTTGGCCATATTGCCCTGCCCTATTTGGGATTAATAGCCCTTTTCACCTAGTACCTATTCGACTGACTACTGGGTTTCTGTCATCTGAGAGCGAGACGCATGACGAAAGCGCTACTGACTTATGAACTCGTGGCTAAAAAAAAATAGTACCTCGCTTATTTGGAGGTACTTTGGATTTAATAAACACGACCTTTACCAAACACAGGTACTCTGCAAAACTTGCCGGACACTCGTGGCAACCACCAGAGGAAACACAACTAATCTCCACCATCATCTTCAATACAATCACAGAGAACTGTTTGAAGAGTTCCAGAAAGACAGGGCTAGCCAAACAAAGGTTGCTAATGTTAAGACAAAGAGCACCGCAGTCCAACAGCCGTCTCTGTATCAGAGTTTTTCAAGTGGAACTCCTTATGAGAAAACGTCGAAGCGCTACAAAGAAATAACAGAGGCCATTACACATTTTTTTTGGCTAAAGACATGATGCCTATAAATACAGTTAGCAGGGAGGGCTTCACCAGTTCGCCATTCCACAAATGTACGAAACATGCCGCAAGACCGTCATGTTTGAACTAAGCCAAGCTGAAAACTACGCAAGCACTACAGACCTATGGTCAAGTCATACAACGGAACCATATATGACTTTCACAGTGCACTTCCTCACCGAAGACTTTGAACTGAAAACACGGTGTCTAGAGACTGTGTATTTTCTAGACATAACTACTTGGTGAGTGGTAAAATGATGAACAACTGCACTGAGATCATTTGCAGTATAATTTAAGTTATGTTTATTTAAAACTAATTATAGAGATCGGGAAGGATGTCTTTCAGAATTCAAGCCTCAGAAAATCTTTTATGGGGGCAATGTTTCAATGTTAAAGTGCACTTTGTTGTTACACTGCTAATGCAGCAGCTTTCTTTAAATAAAACTGTTGCAGTAAAACGGAAATTATGTATTTATTTATTTTTTGCTATTTATTTTATCAGAAGTCATATCGTTATCGCAATACTGATCACAGTTATCGCACATCGCAGGTAATCCACCTGTTGATGTCATGTTCTCTCTTAGGGTTTGGCCAAAACCATTTGACTAATTAATCACTTCTGTTTGTGTTTACTAGCTCCTTTAACCTTGAACTGAAACAGGCTAGCGTATGTTATCTTAACCAGATACCTTAAACCAGGTTTCTTTGATCATTAATTTTCTGTTCCAATCATTTTTTGTCAGCTTTCCCACCTTGCCCCTGGTGGCCCCCTCCCCCCATCCTCAGGCAAAACCCCCCCCAACCCCATTCCCTTGTGGGATCTACCCCCTCACCCCTACCTCCCTCCCCCACCCCTCTTCCTCCCCCCAGCCTCCATCCCTCTGGCTGTCATCCGCTGCAGTAAGATTTCCCCATCATATCCGCCAAGCTGTCGGACATGTCAGGACCCGTGCCAAGCCGGGCCCGAGTGTACACAGAGGTCAACACTCACCGGCCAAGGGAGTACTGGGACTATGAGTCCCATGTGGTTGAATGGGGGTAAATATTTTGACTTCTAGACAAATTTACACATGCTAGTTGAGAAATGTTCGTAACTGATATTTGGTTGCAAAATTACTGTATTTTACAGAAACCAGGATGATTTTCAGTTAGTGCGGAAGTTAGGACGTGGCAAGTACAGTGAAGTCTTTGAGGCAATCAACATCACCAATAACGAGAAGGTTGTGGTGAAGATACTCAAGGTAAAGCTGTACAAAGGCTTACTTTTATATCTCATGAAGTCATTATGCATCCTAACTCTTTTTCTTCGTTTATCCTTTAGCCTGTAAAGAAAAAGAAAATAAAGCGTGAAATTAAGATTCTGGAGAACCTGCGTGGAGGTCCTAACATAATCTCTCTAATTGATATAGTGAAAGACCCTGTAGTAAGTATCATAGTTATTAATGAAGAACATTTAAGGTCTTGTTCACAAGTACAGCAGAAATTATATTTTATTTGCGTTTTCTTTTTTCTGATTACATAATGTGTTATTCAGAAAAAAGATGCATTAAATTTTGGGATGGTGTCATTGTACCAATAGCACATTGAACCTACCACTTGTGCCAGCTTATTGGTTACACTTGGGAAATTTGTGTCTGTAAGTACTTAAATAACCACGGCTAGATAGATACATGTAAGCAGTTTTATAGTAATAAAATGTAGTGAGGGCTCTGTCCAGGCAGTGGAGCAACACATTGTGTCTGAGCCATCATGGTCATTCAAGATTTAAACAAATACAGATTAAGATTTCTGATTTAGAATTTTAGAAGTCAAGAGCAGAAGTACCCTGTTTATGAAATATCTACCCTATTGTAACATGTGGTTTCTGAGTACCTATTTTATTTATTTTTGGACAAACCTTCTGCGACCAGTTAAAAAAAAATGTGTCCAAAAAGCAGAGGGTAGAAATCTCCAGAACTCATCTCCCTGGGTGAGAGTGGAGAATATCTTTCATGGTTATTTCTACTTAAATAGAAACTGATTTTAATAGAGCATCAAAGATTTAATAGTGAAAGTTGGTAGCTCTGATTCACACTGTGATTAGCATTATTTGTGGATATGGTTGTGCAGCCTATGGTGAGAGAGACCACAGTTTGATTAGACTTTTGATGTTTTATATTAAAACAAAATGTAAGGCTCACAGTGTGGCTGTCTGCTTGGCTTGTACAGAGATAGATTTAGTGCTTTTTCTTTGTGTCTTCTTCTTCTTCTTCTTCTTCAATTGTTTGGATTTTGTATGAAACTGCAAACGAAAAATAAAGTACACGAAATGTCTCTCTTGCAGTCCCGAACACCTGCCTTAGTCTTTGAACATGTTAACAACACAGACTTCAAGGTAGGAACACACTATGATTTTTATTCTGTCGCGCATTTTATTGTAATATATTTCACCCTCCTTTCTTGGCATACTCGTTGTTTTACCATACACGTGTGTGTATGTGATGGAGGAATAGGATAGTCCAGTGCTATGTCTTCGGTGCCAGAAAGTCAACAGTCTTCTGGTTCTATCCTCAATCACTGGCACAGTGCTCCTTCTGTGTGACACATGGGTGCTGTCATTTAGCTGTAGGACTTTACCATTAAAAGGCTAATGATTTTATTTTTGGTATTCAGCAACTATACCAGACCCTGACGGACTATGATATTCGATTCTACATGTATGAGATCCTCAAGGTGAGTCCTCCAGCTCACTCTATGATGTGTCAAACTCAGAACGTTGTGATACATGTTTAGATGAAGACCTTTCACAAGACACTAATTCCCTGGAAAATGTTCTTTGACTGTGTTTTTCTTTGGCTTTTTATACTTGAATTCATTTTGTTATCAGCATTTTCCTGAAGGGAGAATCAACTAATTATCTCTAGCTCTTTTGGAAATCTTGGGAAGAAAAACTTAAACAGTATTTAACAAAGTCCCTTTGGTATTGTTTGTAGGCTCTGGATTACTGCCATAGCATGGGAATAATGCATAGAGATGTGAAGCCACATAATGTGATGATAGATCATGAGCACCGTAAGGTGGGTGAGAGATAATGTTGCTTCTGCAATGTAACAACATGATAAAGTTCATTGTCATTGCTGTTGTGCTTTTCTGTTTGCCTCTCTGTGTGGATTCCTATTCTTCACAGTCCCTCTACTGCATTCACAGGTTGAAGCACAATATTTTAATTTCCACTTACTTTACTTGTACTTAGTACGTACCCTGGTTCTGAGTGCTAATCGCTTAATTTCTTTGTAGCTGCGTCTTATTGACTGGGGTCTGGCTGAGTTTTACCATCCAGGACAGGAGTACAATGTCAGAGTTGCATCTCGCTACTTTAAAGGACCCGAACTTTTGGTGGACTATCAGGTATGGCAGTGAGGTAGTAGCGTGTGCTTTAGCGTTTTTCTGGAGTGCAGTTGGAGGTCTTTGTACTGTGGATACTGAATTTTGAGTCTTTGTCAGTCACTGAATGAACCTGTTGTGTCCAAAATTACAGTCTTGTTCCTTTTGCTAGGCTGTATTTTAAGTCAAATCAGTTTAGTTTTATTTATATAGTGCCAAATCATATCAAGTCACCTCAAGGTGCTTTATATTGTAAGGTAAATAAATAGACTTTGTAACAGATTTCAGCGAGTAGTGTTTCAGTCATCTTCTCTCATCTTTCCTCATCATTGGCTCTTCCACTGTATTCTGTGTTCAGATGTATGACTACAGCCTCGATATGTGGAGCTTGGGCTGTATGCTGGCATCCATGATCTTCAGAAAGGAACCTTTCTTTCATGGTCATGACAATTATGACCAGGTGAATAAATCTAAGCTATTATTGTGTTTCCCTGTACTTGTTAATTTTAAAGATGATGAGTTTTATAACGCACATAAAGTATACACAGAATATTTATTTTGGCTGTTGATGTTTTCTGTCCTTCAAACTAGTCAACTACTGTAGTTTCTTTTTCTTTTTTTAAACGACTATTAAATTAATTCCCAGCAGGATTTATAGATATTACCGTGAGCTTTGTTTAATAGGGTTTTGATCTACTAAGTGTCTAGATGTTTTCTGTAAACAGCTGGGAAATAGATTTTATTATAGTGCATGTGTGTGATTGATGATTTCTAAATGACTGTTGCATGTTCTCCTGCAGTTGGTGAGAATAGCCAAGGTGCTGGGGACAGAAGACCTCTACGACTACATAGACAAATACAACATTGAGCTGGAACCTCGCTTCAATGACATTCTTGGCAGGTACTAGGTTCAGCTGAATTATTGTTAGCAAATACACCTGCGGCGGGGGGGGTGGTCATGTTGTCAGGTACATGGTTATTATCGTTAACGAAAACTAACGAAATAACGAAAACTAGAAGTAAAAAAACATTTTCGTTAACGGAAATAAAAATAAAAACAAAAAAGGAAAACTAACTAAAACTGTAATGAGTGTTCACAAAACTAACTAAAATTAACTGAAATTATAGCAAAATTGTGTTTAGTTTTCATTGATGTGTGCGTGTCCTACAATAGTCAAGGGTGAAAATGAAGTTTAGTTTCCAGATTTTTTTCTTGCTGTCTAATTATGCCAGCAGGTGGCAGCACGTTAGTCGAGTCGTCTGTGTTGCTGCTCCGTCCACGCGCAGAATCATGTCAGGAAAAGTCGGGAGAAAGCGCCAGAGTCCAATTTGGGATTACTTTGAATATGACTGTGTTTTGGATAAAGCAAGTGTCTTGTAGTGGAAAGAGACAAATTATGAGGGACATTTCTAAAGGGGAAAAAATCCCACAAACCTTAAAGTGCACTTGAAAAGCTCACACAAGAAGGCTAACCTAGCTTACCTTGAGAAGGGAGCACACTCAACCCTCATCCCCAGAAACAGAAACTAACCCCAGGCAGGCAGCGTGATGCATCCCGAGACAACAGGACGGGGATATCTACATAACTGTGTGAGTCAATTGCCTTCACAAAGTTTATCAATTCACTTGAACCAAAATTACGAACACCCGGTGCTGCAAGAGTTAATAGTCTCATTGGGGCCAAGATATAAATTTTATAGTTGCCTGGTATCAGTGGTTGTTCATCTGCATTTATTTATTTATTTATTTATTTATTTATTTATTTATTTATTTATTTATTTATTTAAAGAACCCATAGGTGGGAATGTGAGTTGTCTGTCTCTGCGTGTTAGCCCTGCGACAGACAGGCGACCTGTCCAGGGTGCAGGGTATGGTAGCTGGAATAGCAACATACCCAAGAATAAGCAGAAGAGAATGACTGATATGATGAAACTGGGATTTTGTTACACTTAATTATTGCAAATACAACTAAAACTATAACAGAAACTAATCAAAACTAAACTGAAACTAAGGATTTTCAAAAAATAAAAACTAAACTAAACTAGCAAACAATTGGTAAAAACTAATTAAAACTGATATAAAATTGAAAATCTGAAGTCAAAACTAAATAAAAATAAAAACTAATGAAAATTGCAAAACTATTAAAACCCTGGTCAGGTAAATCTAAGATGGGTCAAATTGGAATTTCTTCATGGTTTGTGATATTCCAGTCAGAAACAAACACAACCAAACTCCACAAAGACTGAACTCATTTAAATATCCACAAGAGAACAGAGCAATACAAAGAATCAATGTGAATAAAATTGTATTTATGTTGCACATTTTAAGTTAAATATCACAGTTCAAAAGAAGAGTTTTAGCTCCTGGGTGACTGATGATCCACTGAGTATATCTTCTCCACTCCCATCTTATTACTCATTCATGTGTGTATACCCATTTTGGTGGCCACAAAATGTTACAGAAATTTGTAATGGGATAATCTAAAGCATGAGTGTCAAACTCTGGCCCGTGGGCCATTTTTCAGCAAAACTTGTTTGAGTCAATAAGAAAAGATTGATTCTTATATTTTTTTTTAATAAATATTAATGTTAGCCTGCGACTTTGTTCCAGTTTTGAATTTTGGCCCACTGTGATCTAAAGTGTTTACTGTTTTGTAAACGAATACAAACACAAGGCACTAATCCCCCCCACCCCAAAATAGGCATTCTCGTAAGCGGTGGGAGCGATTTGTCCATAGTGAGAACCAGCACCTGGTCAGCCCCGAGGCTCTGGATTTCCTAGACAAACTGCTGCGCTACGACCACCAGGCCAGACTCACTGCCCGCGAGGCCATGGATCACCCATACTTCTGTAAGCCCTCACCATCACCTCTGTGTCTATCTATGGTTATTTATTTTTTCTGCTAACAATAAAATGAAGGTTGCCATGACAAGAAGTAATTTATTTATTGTTTCTACAGTCCCTATTGGGAAAGATCAGTCTCGTGTGACCGGATCAGCCAACCTACCCAGTGGGAACCCTGCTGTTAGCACAGCAAACATGATAACTGGTGAGAACGCGCACTTATACTGATAGTATACTGGCCTACAATTTAAATCCCCATGCCTTTAAATCCATCCAAGTTTCTCTTTAAAAAAACAAAACTTATGGGTTTGTGCATCCTTGTGCTTTAGGTTTACATTTTCCTCAACTAATATGGCAGAGTTATTATGCATTAGCTTCATTAAGATGCATGTCAAAAATCTGGATGTCAGTTTACTGTCATGTAATGGGGCGGTAGTGGCTCAAAGAGTTGGCAGTTCGTCTTGTAACTGGAAGGTTGCCGGTTCGAGCCCCGGCTCGGACAGTCTCGGTCTGTCGTTGTGTCCTTGGGCGAGACACTTCACCTGCCGCCTACTGGTGTTGGCCAGAGGGGCCGATGGCGCGATATGGCAGCCTCGCTTCTGTCAGTCTGCCCCAGGGCAGCTGTGGCTACAACTGTAGCTGCCTCCACCAGTGTGTGAATGTGAGAGTGAATGAATAGTGGCATTGAAAAGCGCTTTGAGGGCCCCGAAAAGCTCTATATAAATGCAATCCATTATTATTATTATTATTATTATTATTATTAAAAAGGGAGGTGTGTACCTGGGACGGCCATATTAAGGATATCCACTGTTGTCCTAAAGTAAAAATTTACTTCAGATTCGTAATATTACTTCCTGGTTTACCTTTGGTCACACACAGTGTGATTGCATTAAATTATGGATTTATTTCTTCTTGTACAGAACCAGTAGTTCAAATCCTTGGAATTGATAAAGCTGCCTGCTTTGCTTACTGGTTTCACTTGCAGTTGGGCAGTTTGTGTGCTGGAGGAGGAAACTAGTAGTGCAGTCTACAGCATAGATATGGGCATCACTTTTATTTCTATTGCACAAAAGGATCAGAGTGCAGTGGTAAATTTTAAATTGTTTCCAGGAAAGAAACAACTACATTATCCCATTAACACAACTGTGACTCTTTGTAAGCAGCTGCACACGCAGCATGCTAGCCACAGCTAGTCAAGAACCCAAAGCTGAGTGAATGCTGACCCCAGCCCAGCAGCCAGACCCTGAACTTCAGCAAAGTGATGAGCAGTCAGGCTGCAGCTTCTGTATCATATGTCTAAAGTAGAATTACTGTGGGCTGGGTTTTAATCTTTGCTTTGTGCTGTTGGCTTTATGTTCACACATAAATACTAAGAGAAATATCATCTCTGTCTTATTAGGATAGGGATTTGTGTTGCTGTGTGGGACTGTAACCCATAGGTTTATATTATTAAAAGGTAATTGTGAGATAATACATTTCATGTTATTTTACAGAAAAAAACCCTTTCTCCTGGGAGTAAGAACTGTACTGCAGAACTGTTCTGTGTAATGTGTAATACATTACTTTTTTAAAATAATGACCCCAAAGCTGATACCTCCAACATGCAACACATTTGGCCACACAGCATTCAGTTAATTTGCACAAATGTCTTTGGCTACGTTCACACTGCAGGCGAAAGCGCATCAAATCCGACTTTTTTGACCCTATGCAACTCATATCCGATCATGGTGTGACAGTGTGAACGGCACAAATCCGATATTTTTAAATCCGACCTGGGTCACTGTCATATGTGGTACTCAATCCGATACATATCTGATGTTTTAGAAAGCGACTGCTGTTTGAACGGTCATGTCGCATTAAATCCGTCTTTTACGTCACTGACACAAGACAGACGCCGATTATCAGCGCCGGAGAAGACATCGTGAACGCTTCCTGTCCATCCAGTGTAGATGTCAGTGAAACTGTTTGGAAGACAACGTTGGAGAAACGTGAACATTTTATTTGTACTGTATAATCTGCAGATTCTGACAGAAATCTGCAGCAAGCACCGCTCCTCTAAAACAGCAGTAAGGATCATTATTAGGCCAAATGTAAATAACAAAATAACTTTATAACTTAAAGCAAAATTGGGAAACGTAAAGTCCGAAACAAGTCTTCATATTAAGAGCCATCAGTCAAACATACTGTTTGCTCTGGGTCTAAACAGAGCGCGTTGTGCGTGACGTCTTCTTTTGCGCATGCGGGCCGCTTTGAGCGTTCACACTAGAGCGCGTTTGCTGTTGCATTTTATTTGTAGTGTGAACACGCAGACAAAAAAAATCGGATTTGATCAAAAAATCGGAATTGAGCTTTAAGACCTGCAGAGTGAACGTAGCCTTTGATATGCAATGCGATGGTGGTGACTCTTCAAGCGGGTCAATGAGCACCCAATCAGAATCGATAATGGAATTGGTTAATTCTTATCGATTCCCATGCGAATTTTAAACTGTTGAAAAATTTCTGTCAGCTCTGAGGTAGAAATGCTAATATTCAGAGTGCTCGACTGTCCTGATGGTCTCATCTGGCTTCTCTCTCTCAGGTATCTCTGCCTTGCCAGCCTCTACTGCCCTGGGGCCTCTCACTGGCTCACCTGTCCTATCTGCTGCCACCAATGCCCTGAGCACCCCGGTGCCCGCTGCTGCTGGCGCCCCACAGTGACACCCTCACCCAGATTCACACTAAAAACACCCCCACCCCTCCCTGTGTTATCAATCTCCCACTTTCACCACCACCCAGTCAGGATGGGGGAGGGGTGTCTTAGCAGTTCTCTGCCAGCCGTCACCATATCCAACTTAACTCTGTGTGACTACGCTTCAGCAGCTGGAGGCAGCAGTTATCTTACAAAAAAGAGCTGTTTTCCCTCCTGTGAATGAGAGTGTTAACATGACATATGAAATGAATGTTGTTTATCTGGTATTTTTTTCATTTTGCCCCCAAGTATGTTTTGGGTGGTGAGACTAAGCAATGGTCATTCCTCCCCACTGTGTGTTTTAGTTTGGCGAGAGAAGGCACTGGTCAATAAGAATATCAGCAGAAGGTAAAGGGAGATGCTGGCTGTCAGGACCAAGAGGATATATATAGTTTACTACTGAGCAGCGTCAAACACACAACCTAATGAGAACACTCATCTGACCTCCCCAGGAGAGTTGAAACACCCTCCAGATCACAGTATTTTGGTGCTGTTCTGTACCCCAGGTGTATGTAAACACAATGACACTTCAACACTTTCTCTGCCCGAGTAGCTTTGTCTTGCCTTTCTTACCAAACAAGATCACTCGACTTCTTTTGCTATGTGACTCCCTGTCACGTCATCCTCCTTTGTTTTGTTTTTTATTTTCTCTAATCCAAAACATTGTGGACTGCTGGATAAAAGTTCTCTACCATCAAGGTGTCTGTTCGACTCAAGTGTTGTTGTGCGATCTTTTAAGAAGCCAGGTAAGGGTCATTCAGGTTCTCAAAGAAATGGTTTCTCTAAATGTGCTGCTTTCCAGTTCCTTGAAATACTTCAAGATCTAACCAAAGTTTACTCAAGTTGTTTGGAAGAAGAGGCTGACCAATTGCTTTTTTTTCCTTCCCCTCCAGTGGGAAGCTAGTAGGAGTTGCTCACAGAGTGGACAGTGTGATATGTGTAGTGAATGAAATGAAAACATAGGACATTGTCATTTGCTGGTAGGGCTGTCACAATACCAACAAAATGAAGTACAGTGATGTATATCTTCTTTTTTTCTTTTTCTTTTTTTGGAACACCTTTGTGCTTTAAAGCCACATGCGAGGATTTGTATTTGTGTAATCACGTCACAATCAGAGGAGGAACATTGTTGGCCCTCTATGTTCCTCTGCTGAACTTTTTATGGAGCTGAAGAACAAGATGAGGGGCTGTCATCAACTCTCTTCACGTGCCTCTCCACAAATGAAACGGAATTGAGACGCAAGTGCAACCAGAAATGAAAGCAAAATGGGATAGACTCCCATTTATTTGAAAAGGAGTGTGCTTAAATGAGGGAAATGCACCCCTTAAAATCCAGAGTAAGTAAAGTAAATTAAGATTAATGTTGCATTGCGTAGGGCAGGTATAATCCTTTCACTGAGACAGCCCTACCTGCTGGTGACTGTTAGAGAAAAGTTCACCTCTCATGTATAGTGAGTGACGTTTTTGAAGAGTCATGCAGTTTGTTGGCTTTCACCAACACGTTGAGGGAAGCAGTGGAGTATAATAGCATTTGAAAGATGGTTTCCCGTAATGTTTTAGTGCCAGAGTTTGGAAGTGCAAGTTTTAGATCCTGCTGTACATACGCCTTTTTTCCATTTCAAAACCTGAAAATGCAAATAAATCAAAACATGTATACATTGACCCGACAATGGAGCAGTTTAAATCCCTACATCACTGTATATATTTTTCTGTCCTTATGTAGAAGACTAGTATTTGAGAATATTTGTGTAAATAAACATGTGTTTTATTTATCAGGTAAATCTGTCTGATTCATGTCTGTCATGATTACACAGACTTGGGCTGCTACAAATGCAACATCTGGATGTCTTGCCACAAATGCTCTAAATTAAGAGTTTAAGAAAGATGCACTGATGCTAAATGAACACTGAAAATATAAATATGGAAAAGAAATATTTGTGTATCCCAAAGTGCAACTTCAGTTTTGAAAGGTGTTGCCATCTCGAGTTCAGTGTGTACAACTCTGTCCTACAGCAACAATGACTAGGATGCAGTTTCTACTAGTGGTTAAAATCTACTACCTCTCTGTGCAAAAACAAATCTTTGTGTCCAGTTGAAGTGGATGCTTTTCTTCAGATGTTGCACAATATCAAGAATTTGAAGCCTGTTCACATGGATGGAACACAGTTGTTTTTCCTGCTATTAATTTTCCTTTTTCCATTAAAAAAGTCTACCATAAGGATGGGTCCGCTTATAGGCCCAGTTGTGATAGAATATAACCCCCCCCTCCACACACACGCTTCTGTTGTAGATGGTGGGAAAACAGTTATTTTGGTGTAGTATGAAAGATTTATTCAGTAGGACAAGCTGTAAAATCTATGAAAACAAAAGCCCAAAAAAATTTGCCGTCCTCCACATTTTCCGAAGACTTAACATCTTAAAGTTGATATTTTGAGGTAAACAAGCAAACCTTTTGTTTGACAGTCCCCTCTCATCCCCACTATCCCCTGCATCTGGATAATGTAGTGGTAAGACTAGACACCTTTGGAGTGAGAGTCGCAAGTTCGTTTTCCCCACCTGGTATCCAGTAAGGGCCCTGGCTAGACCCCCCCCCAATGCTAAAGCCAAGTCCTGGAATGGCGCGGCTATGTCTACAGCCTGTCTGCAGCTCGGACACAAGCATTTCACTACATGTTGTACTCTGTATGAATGTGTATGTGACAAAGGTTGTTTGTTTGTTTGTTTTAAAGCAAGAGCTGGAAAGGTGTTGACCTGTTAAGTTCTCTTAACAAAGAAATCCAATAAGCCCACAGTGGTAAAGAAAAAAACAAGCTCATGTCACCCAGTTAAACTCAAAGACATGTTACAAAGTCCTATATCATTCATGTTCAACCCTCATGAACTTAGGCACACGCTAACTGTCGATTTTTATTTTGACTAAAGATTTCAGGTCAGCTGTTTGAGGTGATGTCTTCCTAAACAGTTCATTATCTTTTTGGTTCACCCCGATGTGCAAACCTGACAGTGCACTCTCTGGTATTGTGAGGAGGTATTTCTGCTGCTGATGAAGCCACAGCACTCCAGATGGTGGTAAAACCTGCAAAACAACAGTGGAGGCCTCACATTGCATCACTCGGGACTCTGTATTTGATCAGGTGAATAGACTGCAGATCATACCTGTTTAAACGCAGCTCCTTGTCTATTTCCTCCAGAGTCTTCCCTTTTGTCTCTGGTAGCATGAAGTAGAAGAACACTGCAGCTGCCACAGCAGTCAGCCCATACACAAGAAACATCCCTGACAGGCCAATCATATCTGCAGAATTAAAACACATTTCTTTTTGCTACCATGTTCAAAAACATATTTACACTGTGGGTCTTGATATGTTTTTACTTTGTGTGTTGGGTTCTAGGTCAATGACATACAATTAGGGCCATACGTTTTGAATAATGAAAATAAATAAAGAAAAACAAATTTGCTTCTGTAAATCACAACAGTGGATTTTAAATCAAACAAGTAATCTTAACTGTTAAACTTTGAGCTTTTAAAAAAAATCTGCATTTATAGATTTTATATTTTGCATTTTTTGGTTATTCATTATCAAAAAAATATTAAACTATTTTGTGCAACGCATTTAACTTCAAACTGGAGAGCTTTTATTTTGGTATACCATTAACTTCATGTAAATTGTCCTTCTGCACAGGAGATCCAGCTCATTACATTTCATGCTGAACTTTTAGGGTCAAGGTTGGGTTCATTTAAAAGTCAACATTATAGCTATCGTACTTTTAAAAAAAGGAGAAACAAAAAGTATAATTCTCCATATTTCACACTTTCAGACTTGTTTCCATTCAGTTATAAACAAGTCACTCTGAATTTTCACATAATTAACAGTTAACAAGCTTTCAAGCAGCTTTCAACTTTTATATGCCAGCATGACACCGATCACAAATTCCCATCTCAAGAAGCACAAATAATTGTAGTATTTGAGTATTATCCACAGCCAGAAGCAAAGCTGATAAAAACTGGAGGTGGGAATGAGAGAGTAACTTGCTTTAAATACTACCCATGATAACAGTAAATCCCAAAAAGGTTGATTCTGTTCATCTGGACGTAGCGTTTTCAGTGGGAGAGATGTTTCGTCACTCATCCAAGTGACTTCTTCAGTCTTCTGACTGCAGGTTTTGCCATTCTTATAAACAGTACCTTTGCACAATGACTGAAACCAGCACTACTAATGAACAATGGGCTGTGAGGTCAGTTCCTTGATCATTAATGATGTAAGAACATCACATCAAGAAGGCCCTGAGTAAACGTGGTTATCCTTGCTGGACATTTGTTAAACCTGGGAAGGCACCTAAAGAAAGCTCCAACCGATCCAGGAAAGAAGGACAACCACTGCCTCCTGTGTCAGGAGTATTGGAACAGTTGAGATGCATTTTTTCTAAACACTGCGTCTCTGTGGCTTTTAAGCTAAGGACCATGGTCTTAGACTTGGAGATGCTAATTCTCATCCCAAGCCACTTCACATACAAGTTATAAACAGAACTGTTAACAAAGGACAGCCCTGGCAGAGTCCAACTCCCACCAGTAATGAGTCTGACTTAGCAAGTCGAGCCATTTGTCAGGGTGGGATCACCACTGGTAGCTTAATGTTAGCAGTTAATGTTAATGTTAGCGTGTTGCTTTTTCAGGCATTTAATGTGTTTGCAACAGTGGATCCTTGTCTTTTTGTACATTATATATGAGGTCATATGTATATTCACCACATAATACAATGTAATTACACTTTATTGTATCCAGTACTTTTATTTTAGGGTACGCACTAAATTGGATACAATACAGAGAAGTTTAGCATAAAATGTTAACGTTTCTCCAACGTTGTCTTCCCAGCAGTTTCACCGGATGGCCAGGATGCGCAAGGATGACACGCAAATTCGTGAAGCGTTCCACATTTTTGTGGGTGGCTGTAGCGCAGGAGGTAGAGCCGATCATCTACTGATTGGAAGGCTGGTGGTTCAATCCCTGGCCCTACTCTGCAAATATCCTTGTGCAAGATACTAACCCCAAGTTGCTCTCTGATGCATCAATCAGAGGCTGGGTGAATGTGGCATGTAGTTTAGAGCGCTTTGACTGAGCAGGCCATTTATCATGCATCATGAAATCAATAGATGTAATGAACTTTTTTTTTGGAAGCATTTTATTATTATAATTATTATGATTTTTTTTATTCATTTATTTTTTTTTCTGGTAAACTAAAGGTAAACATCTAGCTACTTTAAAACCTATAGTGCTATTGAAACTCCAAGACTCACCAATAACATTCAAAAAGGTGAAGGTGACCAGCAGATTTGCAGCCCAGTTGAAGCAGTTTGTGAATGCGAATGCTCTTCCTTTAACAGCAGCTGGAAATATTTCACTCAGGAGGAGCCATGTCACTGATCCAAAAAAAAACAACAAAAAACGTTATGATAACCCACAGGTAAAAATTGTAATGGAGGTAAAGCTATGCTTGACAAATACACAGAAATTATTTAAGCTTTAAATCTATAAAGTAAATAATATTGAATAAATTTACACACTTGGTCCAAATCCAACAGAGTATGCACTGACAGTACCCATCATACACAGGAGGATGATCCAGTTGATCACTTTGCCGTGGACTTTAGTAAAAGTTTGTGGAGTGGGTTCCAAAGAAATGTGGCCGATTTTATCTTGTGTGGTGTTTTTAAAAAGAAAGTGGTTTCCAGCCAGAGACGTATCAAAAACAGAGTAATTGCCAACAGGTGAGTGACGTGCCCGTGTTTCGTTAACGTCAATGTTTTGAGCATTACAAGGTCTCATAGCGGTCACCTGCGAATGTCCACTGAAGAGTCCGATGGTTATTAGGCACAGAGCCATGACAGAGCAGCCTCCGATGAGCAGAGGCCTTCTGCCCACTCTGTCTGAAAACGCCATGGATATCAGAGTAGCAATCACTTTGACCAACCCCAACCCAACTGATGCCAACACTGCTGAGGAGTCACTCTGAAATCCCACTGTGTGGAAGATGGTGGAGGCATAAAACAGTACGTTTGGCTGGCCTGTGAACTGCTGAAAGAGAACTAATCCCAGCCCGATGACAGTCCGAGTCCTCATATTGTCCTGGCGCTTGAACAAGTAGAAAGTGCTGCGTTGAACCTTCTTATTTCTCTTGCTAGACTGCACTTTTGAGTCATCTGCTTCTTGGGCTTCAGTGCTGTCATTTTGAAAGCACTGACTCTGGTTGAAAGAATCCTTACTACTGGAAGGGAGTAAGCAGATGGACATGAGCTGTACCAGTGTTGGTACCACAGCTAGACCAAACATCCACTTCCACCCTCTTTTATAGCCAGACAGGATATAGTTAATGGCATAAGCTGACAGGATGCCCACAGTAATCCCAGCCTCATACAGTGTTACCAGGAAACCTCTGCGGTCTGGACTTACTACCTCAGACACAAAGAGGCAGCAGGACATGGAGGATACAGACATGGCAAAGCCTATTGTGATCCTTCCTATGACCAGTGCTAAGAATGAGTTGATGAGCAGAACCAGGCTGGCTGTCAGGATCATGACATTGCTGATGAGGATGGAGTTCCTGGAGCCATGACGGTCAATTAAGCAGCCGCCAATGATCGAGGCCAGCAAGGCTCCTATCAGCAAGGAGCTGACCAGCGCCTCCTGCTGAATGCATGACAGCCTGAAATCAACCTTGAGCTGCAGTAAAGCACCCGATATGATGCCCAGCTCATAACCAAAGACAAGTCCGCCCAGAGTAGACACCACACTGGCCAATGGCGTGATAGGACAACCTGTGAGGAAAGAAAAATTAAGATGGTTAATTTTTAAAGTATAAAAGAAAATGTACTGCCTCCCAAATAATCTCAGTTGTAAGGAATTACACAGAAGAAAACTACTGAACGGTTATAAGATTTGAATCCATTCATTTTATGTTATTTGTGGTAAACTGAATTGGAAACATTCTTTTTCTTTGTGTTTGTTGGGTTAGCGTCTAGAAATAAAGATGGAACTTGAAACAGCTTGGTTTGATGCATACTTAGATGATGTTATTTGGACAAAACCTTAAATCCTTCAGATGTCAGGAGTTAGTTTACAACTTACTAAACTCCTGACATCATCAGCAAGTGGTACTACAACTTCATCTTGCTGATCACGTTAGAACAACAGGTGCATTTTAGCTTTAGAAAGTACCCTAATAAATGAGCCACATTGGTCACTGTGATCAGCCTGTGGTTCTCTGATGTTCAGAATCTATTGATTGAAATGCAAATGAGGCAGAAAAAGATGAAGATGTAAGCTGCTGGAGTTCAGTCTTCCCTTGATAGTCATTTAATTTTCACCTTTGCACCTTTGAGTAATTAAAGATGTTGTGCTGTTCAATAACCATGTTCTGAATGTAGATTCAGGGCTTCAGTGTGAAATGTGAGCTATCAGCAGCTAGAACAATCAAGCAAGCATTTGCACTGGCGGATCACATTAGTCAACACTAATGCATTTCACACAATATTTACACCAATTTACTTTATGTCACAGTAAAAATCAGCATTTGATTGTGGTAAACTGATTTACATAAAATTACTTACTCATTGCTTCTGTCTTGTTATGTGCACATTTAAGCCAGACCATGCAGCTCTAAATCCATCTTTCAGAAGACATTCACTGTAGAGTATATGGGAAACAATAAAAAGATCATCTCCATTTCGTGTACTGTCCTCCTGCTCTGGCACCAACAGGAAGCCCTGCTGACAGAAAATCAAAGGAAGCCCATCAGAGCCTGTAGCAGCACCGCTGCCATGACAACACTTTTGTTGATTACAATGATTTCATTAGGGAGTCCATGCAAAGAAGGTATAAAAAGAATGAAATAAAACATGTCTGTGTAGAAAGCAGTTAGCTCGTCAAAGTATAATTCTGCTAGACATCCTGTCACCTGACAGTGACAAGGCAGTGGAGAATTTGATGTGTCGCTCTGAAATATCAAGAGGGAGAGGAACACCACTACTGTAGTTAAAAAGCACTTGTGTCTCTGCTTACTGACTCTGGAAGACATTAATTATCACCGACAAGCTTCAGTATTCATTAGCTGGAACACTGAACTGTCACCGAAACATCCAGACTTTCCTGACTGGTGGATGAGTCATTCAACAGTTCATTCACTGATCAATAACTTGGACAGTGCTCATAACTAACATACAAAAGACAACGATTCAACTTAACGCTTTAATTGACGTATGTTGGCAGAGTCGTCTGTCTTTTTGTGCTAGTGTCAGTCCAGGGTGTATAAGAGCCTTCTATGAGAATAACCTGACTAGTTTAACAGAGTAACTTTTCATCACTTTTCTTAAAACAATTAATTTTTTTGACAAACTTTTTTGTGTAAAAGGTGGATTAATTTAATCTTTCAATTTATTAAATATTTAAATATTTAAAATCTGCAAGTAGAATGATTTCACAAGTTTCTTTACAAAATTTGCTGTGCTTTTTCGATAGTAAGGCAGTAAATACGTTATACAACTATTATATTTGTTTCCGACTATTATTGCAAAAATAATGATAATAATAATGATGATGATAATAATAGCAATCCACCTGGAATTAAATACGATGTTTAGAAATCTGTAGCACGGCTGGGGTTCACACTTAAAAACATGACAGTAAAAAGTAAAATATTTCCTGTTTAAAACACTTCAATAACATTTTTACTTATAGTTACGTAAATGCCACCATATTTACGTAAAATTCAAAATTCCGTAAAAATTCCTCTTCACAACTCTCATGCAGCCTATTTTAACGCTCCAGCTTCTTCTGTTGTGGAGAAATGTAGCTCCATTATTCATCCCTCCCACTGTATTTCAGCAAGCACAGTGGGCACGCACGCACACACACACACAGGGCAATCCGCTGTGAATTTATATATTTTGGGGTAGGACAGAGAAATGGACTCACCTCTGGCAGCAGGAAACAATACACAAAAATGCTCCTGGAAAACCTCTGGCCCTCCAGGAAGTTGGGGCTACGTGGCAGCAGTGTCGGATTGCAAAGAAGAATTTCTTGGCCAAGTTTTGACGCCAGAGGTCGTCAGCTATGGAAGTTCCCCGGGAAGGTAATCCAGGCAGAGGATCTGCAAGCACCGCCCACAGCCGGCCAGAGCAGAGAGGAGGACCAGTCCGCTCGCTTTGTCACACACACACACACACACACATTGAAGGGTTTAGGTAAGCAGCAGAATGGCCGACGGCTGTCTTCAATTTGAAAATGCTGATATGGATGTAACAGGTTGTATCAGTGCAAGCGACACTTAAAATGTTAATACTATTATTACTGCTGGGTCTTGACATTATAAAGTGCCTTTAGGCGACTGTTGTTATGATTTGACACTATATAAATGAATCGAATTGAATGAATACACTAACTGGCCACTTTATTAGGTACACCGTGTTGTACCGCCTTTCCCCTCAGAACTGCCTTAGTTTTCAAAGGCATTGTTTTTGCAAGGTGGTGAAAACATTCTTTGGTCCATGTTGACATGCTGCCATCACACAGCTCCTGCAGATTTGTCAGCTCCATGATTTGAATCACATTCAAAAGGTGGTCTATTGCATTAATAGTAACAATGAAGGCCTCTTTATGTACAGTGAACCCGAGTCATGTTCAAGAAGCCGGTTTTAGATGGCGTGAACTTTGTGAGTCATAGGTTATTTGTGTATATTTTGTGTATTATTTGTGTGTATGTGCTCTACATCGAAAACGTTTCTCTGTATTTATGTGTAGGTATTTTTGTGGTCGCTAGGTGGCAGACGTAAAAAAAGAGCACGGAGGAGGAGGAAGTAAACATGGCGCGGGAGAGCAACATGGCGGTCCCTGAGTTCCTCAGGCAAGCAGAGTTGTTGAAGCAAGGGGCAGAAGCCCGGGTGTACCGGGCCGAGTTTCTGGGAACGCCAACAATAGTGAAGGAAAGGTTCCCTAAACGCTACAGACACCCAGCCTTAGACGAAAAGCTGACACACCGCAGGACCGTGCAGGAGGTCCGCGCCATATTACGGTGTCGGAGAGCAGGCAAGTCCTCCGCTGGTGGAGGTGATCCAATTAGCACCACCCTAAGGTGGTTTAAGAATATTTGTAGCCAACTAACCCACTGGATAGACTGTTGGCTTTGCTGGTCGTGAGTCAATGATTACGCCAGATTGACTTTTCAGCTAAATTGCGTTTATTATCTGAACAACAGACGATATTCAGTCTGCAGAGACGTACACAGCAGCGGTTCTATCTTGTTGGAAGCTTCAGATCTGTGAATATTTATACTTGCACGATGATTTAGTTTTCTGGTTTGTGACCAAATGATTAAGCAGCCAACAACAAAGTGGAATGTGTTTATTCCTTTGCTCGTTTCATTCAAATGCAAGAAAGTGATCCCTACATAACTCATAGTTGGTATATGTTGTGTACAAACCCCTTCTTCTCCACAAGGGGGCACAATAGATGAGCAAATGCTTCCACAGATGTTTAGTCACAGCTTCTGCATAAAGTCAGCTTCATGAAAAATTACAAATTCAACCCTTCTCACATTTTATCTCTTATGTTTTGTTGTGCATTCTCAACTTCTGTGTTATCTATTCAACATGGATCTGAACATTTTCTCTAAAATCTGCTCCGCCCACACTGAAACATCTTTTAGCCACACACAAACCTTAATCGATAATTGAATGGTATTGTAGTCACACAAAGTTTGTAAAATCAGACTTTTTCTTCTTCACAGGAATATCTGCCCCTGTAGTCTACTTTGTGGACTATACCTGCCACTGTATCTTCCTGGAGGACATTGTGGGTTCCTCAACTGTGCGTGACTATATTGCATCTGCTCAACAGTCTGACTCCTGCAAGGAGCTGAAGTTGCAGAGGCTGGCCGAGCGCGTGGGGCAGGTCCTGGCTAAAATGCACGATGAAGATGTCATCCACGGAGACCTGACCACCTCCAACATGCTGCTGAGACCCAGCCCAGAGGGAGGAGAATCCGACCTGGTCCTCATAGATTTTGGTCTGAGTTACATCTCTGCTCTGCCCGAGGATAAGGGTGTGGACTTGTATGTGCTGGAGAAAGCCTTCCTCAGTACCCACCCCAACACAGAGGAACTGTTTGAGAAGCTGCTGAAAAGCTACACAGCGTCATCCAAGAAGTCATCAGCTGTCATTAAAAAGCTTGACGAGGTTCGGTTGAGGGGAAGGAAGAGGTCAATGGTGGGGTGAAGATACTCCCCATGTGTGTACAGGGGCAGACTTGTGGAATTTCATAACGCTGAAATTAAGACACTGTTGTGCACAGTCTGTAAATTAACATTATGCAAAAATTGTAATTGAATATAACAATATTTCTAATAAATGGGGCCTCAGATCTTGCAGTTTATGTGGTGATTTATATAAAAGCACCTAAGGTACTGCTCAGTATCCTCAAGGTTTGAGGGTCAGGCTCCCAGGTAGAGGACCCAAGCTTGAAGGATAGACTGCCCGTAGGGGCGAAAGGGAATTGAGACATACATAGATAGATATGTGTGTATATATATCAAGTAGTTTGTGTTCCATGAAAAATGGAACCGGTAAACTGAATTTATGAACACACACACAAGTGGATCAATTTAGTATTAAGAACTTTATAAAACTACTGCATTCCTTTTGACATGAGCACTGATAAGCTGAAGCAGTCATGCAGGATTTTAAAGACGGCAGAAATGAGTGTTTCCTCAATCACGGAGAAGGTTACTTGTAGAGAACAGTCAGCTATTCAAGTGTCAGTTTTAATTATATAGCAGCAAATTCCAACAACGGTTGCCTCAAGGAGCTTTATATTGTAAGGTAAAGACCTTACAGCAATACAGTGAACATGTTGGATGCAGAACAAACTTTGGAATAGAAATTACCAGAAATTTTCACGAGTACCAATTTGTAATGGTTAGACCAAACCAGAACTTACTGGCGACGACATACGTACAGGGTTTTGGGTTTAAATTTCATGGTTGGCTGGAGCCTTTGTGGATAGTGTTTGCAGATTCTCCTTGTGCCTCTTTGGTTTTCTTCTGCAGTTAAAATTCTGAGTCTGAATGGCACTAGAAGTCAGGTAGGCAGGTCAAAGTCCAAGAGGAGGTGCACTATGACTGATAAGCAGACACTTAAGGTGAATGTTTAGCCACCACAACCATGCTTAATAACACAGGATTTGTAACGCGCCACGTGATCTTCAGTTAGCTGTGTTTGAATTGTGCGAACACACCCAAGTAAAAACGAATGTGTCACATGTTGCTTTCATTTTTAATTTACAGTGACGGTAACATCTGAGACCCCATGGATCAGCAGCGTATTACAAACATGACGATTAAACTCATGGTTCTTGCCTTGTACTGTAAAGGTGAGTGTTTGTCAGTGTTCCGGCTTGTAAATGACAGCTCTGTCCTTTTCGTTCTCAAAGTCTACATGACTCCTTCCAGGTTCCTTGGCTGAGATCACCAGAGAGCTCAGTGTCTTAGTGGGCAATGAGGTAACGCTCAGCTGCATGTTCGACACACCGCATAAGCTAGTGGAGTGGAGTGCTCTTAGTATTGAATGGAACATGGTGGACAAACACGCAAAGAAGAGCATGGTGTACACGCTGGAAGATGGAAGAGCTCATGTGTACAAAGAAGGCTCTGTGGTGAATGAAACGTGCCTGCGTCAGAGTGATGCGTCGCTGCAGCTTCATAATGTCACTGTAGGAGATGAAGGACTGTACACCTGCAGAGTCATCAACCCTCTGATCTACACAGAGTCCACTGCTCTGAAAGTGCTCGGTACGCCTGAGAGTTATATGGGCCAAGAAAGCCACAGTGTTTATCTAGCTTAATAATACAAAAAAGGAGGAACTTTAACGTGAAGTTGCAGGTAATTTAAAAATTGACATTTCAGATGTCAGCGAGCTTCACCAAACAGACAAGCTGCAGGTTATTTTTTGTTTAAGACATCACGCTGTATGAAATTTATGCATGCATGAATTTATTCTCAAAGTTTAAACAAGGTGACCCTGTGGAACAGGCTGAACTATAAAAAGGTAGTATTCTCATAAGATTTACAGTAATATATATATATATATATATGTGTGTGTGCACAAACAGTTGCCTGCAAACCTAAATGAACTGTCTCAAAGTTGTAAAAATTCCAGCGTGCAGCTTATCAGCAGCACGGTATGGAGATCTGCCAGTTGTGTTTGCTGCTGGAAGATCCCACTAGTGCTCTACAGAGCTTCCATGTTAAGCTTTGATAAATGAAAATAACAAACTTGGGCTGTACTGAATCCTGTACAGTGGTCATTCGTTACATAAGCGATGGATGGGTGCAGCTAAAGGTGGTTTTGCATCTTGGCTTAGTTTTTGTTAAATAAATAATGGTGTAACATGCCATGTTAATCTGTGATTGTCTTTACTGGATATTTTTATTATGCCTATAAAACCTTAGCATTGAACGAGGGTGTACTTTCTTTTTAAGAAAATTACCCAACTGCTCACTTGATTAATAATAAATGTGTTACTGAGGACTTTATGGTCTTCATAGCTTCAAGACCAAGATGCACAAAACAATTAGTGACATTATATCCATTTTTGTGCAAATTGTCGAATTCAAGCACAATCATTTTAAATAATTTTAATGATAACAATGTAATATCTGTTTCTGAACCGTACACCTTCAGCTCTGCCTTCAGTGTTGCTCCCAGAAAAGGCAACAGTGAGAGAAGGACAGGAGAAAACCATACAGTGTGATGTAACAGGTTTCTACCCAGAGAAAGTGGCTGTGACGTGGCTGATCCAAAATGGCACCCAGACCATCCATGCAGGGTTGGGCCAACTGTCCCGTGTATGCAATGAGCTGGCTGTACACAATCCAGATGGCACCTACAGCATTCGTAGTGGCATCACGCTGCACTCCTCAGTTCTAAGGGGTGGAGAAATACATGTCATCTGCCAAGTTGAGCACCAGACCTACAATGGTCTGTACAACCGATCTGTAACACTGGCTGTTCAAGGTGGGATTTTATTCATTTATTCTTTGGATCGCTTGATTTCATAGATACATAGTGGTATACTGTAGCGCAGGTAATCAGAAGATTGATAGTTTGATCCCTGGCTGCTCCAGTCTGCATGGCAAAGTATCGTTGGACAAGAACCAAAAGTTGCTCATTGGCGTATGAGTGCGTGTGAATGTTAGACAGGAAGCACAAAAAAGCAAAGTACAAAGCAAAAGCGCCTGTAGTTCACTTGAGTTTTCCAGTAGAGAAGAAAAGCACCATATAAGAACCATTCCATTTAATATTTACTATGTTACTTTCATGTGCTTTTCCTTCAGCTCCATCAGAGCCGCTTCACAGTACAGCCACTGTGATAGCTGTTACAAGTGCAATAACTTTGCTACTGGTCACCTGTGTTACTGGAGGATCTTTATATCTCTACAGATATTTTTACAAAGGTATGTATCAACACAAGCACATTTCTTTTGTTAAATTTTGATAATTTGCTTTGCTTGGTCTTATTTGAATGCGATAATGTCAGATGTTCACATTAAAGATGTCTACAGATTTAACAAATTTGGCAACTATGTGTAAATTAAGGGAAAAACTACAGCTTAAGTTGTAAGCCTAATCTTAAAAGTAGAGAGGGTGTTCTTTCCCAAATCCAAACTGGAAGCTGGTTTCACAGAAGAGAGGCCTGAAAGCCTCCTGTTCTACCCCTCCCATTCTACTTTCAAATACTTTAGGAACCACAAGTAAGCCCGCAGTCTGAAAGTGAATTACTTTGTTGGGGTGATACGATACTATGAAGCCTTTAAGATAAAACAGAGCCTGATTATTCAAGACCTTCTATCTGATGAGAAGGATTTTAAATTCAATTCTGTATTTAGGGAGCCTTTTTTATCCCTTTATTACCATCCCTTTAAAGTTTTACCTAGATATCATAAAGTTTGTTTGATTTTGAAAAAGTTTGATTTCATTAAAATGAAAAGAAAATGCTGCTATTTCTCTTCACAGTTCCATTTAATGTTTCGGAAATCAGTCAGCCCAACATCATATACGCTCAGGTACCCACAGAACTGAAGTGCACCATTCAGGGAGCCACAAGGTGGGAGCTCAAAGTGAAATGGTTTAAACAAAGAACCAGTCCAGACTCAGTGATTCAGTCAGAGTCAGGTTCTTCAGATTCCCTGCTGGAGACTGAGGATCTCAGCGAACGGGCTAGTCTGCAGTCAGATGGCAAAAATCACACATCTCTCCTGCCTGTATTTCTGACTGTTACTGAAGACCAAACCAAATACCAGTGTGTAGTGTGGTGCAAGGACAGGAGCTTCAGAAGGGAGACCACAGTCAAGGTTAAAGGTGAGTAGTTTTGGCTTTGGGAGCAGATTATCAGACAGGGCACTCTGAGAATTCAGCTCAGTGGGGAAATCCTCAGCCCGGTTTCATAAGAAAACATGTTCATGTGCACACAAACTGTTACGTTTTATGTGAGTGTGAGCATGGATTTGTAATTAAAGTTCTTTTAATAGGGAGGATATTTCATGACAGAAGCATGATGTTTCAGAGAAACACAAAGTATCACACTGAGAAAAGAAAGCTATTCTTCCCAAACCACAATCTTTTTCTAATTATAAGTTTTTAATCCCTAACCTCAAACAAGCTGTTTGAAAATCTGTGATGTGTATGACTTGAAATTGTCGTACACAGCACAGTGGCAAAAGTTTTTAACTCCGCCCCCAATTCCTCTTATCACTAAAATGCAACCTTTAAAAGTGGGAAATATTCAATATGTGCAAATGGACATGAACTGGTACAGAAAAAAAACTATAAAATTTGTTTCCAGGAACAAATAACAATAGATTAAAGATTAAATATTACAACTATTTCGAGAAATGTCATGAGACTGTGTTGGAATCCCATAATGCCATGCATCCTAACTAAAAGTTTAACTGGAGAAACACGTGACCCAATCCACGTGTACCAGTAAGTGCAGTAGGCATATTTAATCCTATTTATAGAAAAGAAGTAATGATTGTGTTGAAATTCTATTTATCTATATTACATTATATAATTAAGTTCTGTACCATAATTTATATACATATAGTATATATAGCTATATACCAGACTAGGAGGCACAGTGGCTTGGTTCAAATGCACTGGCTGTGGCCTCTGTAGAGTTTGCATGTTCTCTATACATGTGCTGGGTTTTCTCCAGGTTCTCTGGCTTCTTCCCACAGTCCCACATGTCCCCAAAGACATGCAGTTATTGGGGTTAGTTGGTGAATCTAAACTGCCCATAGGCGTGAATGTGAGTATAAATGTTTGTCTGTCTCTCTGTGTTAGCCAGAGACAAATGAAATGAAATAGGAAGTTTGCCAGATTTTGGGAAAATAAACACATGATCCTATTTTAAGTGGTGTCTACATATAAGGCGACATAATCGCACCAAACATCTTTGATTCATATATCCGATGACATCATTCCAAAAGTCCTCATCTTTGGCTTTTACTTCCCATGAGGTTAATGAAAGATTCAACGATAAAATTTATGCTAGATCTTCTTGTCACAACCCCAAAGGGGATTTGTAAGAAAGCACTAAATGTTTGTGTTACTGGAAACTTCTGGGTTTTTTTTTGTTTTGTTGTATTTAAATGAAACAATCTCATTTGGGGCTGCATGTCTTGCCAATCCTGAAAAAAACTACTTTCATTGTTATTTAACGACAATCATTTACAGTTTGGTCCAGATATATTAGAACACTAACACAAGTTTTGTTTTTTTACCTGTTTACTGTAGTTTGACAATGGACATTGAACATTATGTGTATCTCCAAAGGTTGATTCTGTTCATCTGGACGTAGCGTTTTGTAGGAGAAACGTTAAGATTAAGGAACTGACCTCCCAGCCCATTGTTCCTTCAGTGGGCTGGTTTCAGTCATTATGCAAATGTACTGTTTATAAGATTGGAAACCTGCAGTCAGCTGAGACTGAAGAAGTCACTTGGATGAGTGATGAAACGTTTCTCCCACAAAATGCTACGTCCAGATGAACAGAATCAACTTTTGGAGATTTACTTTCCTGGATGATTGAGCATGCATCAAAACAAAAGTAATTGGACAGTTCACTCAAAGTGCTACTTCACAGGCAGGTGTGGGCAATTCCTTTGTTATGTCATTATCAATTAAGTAGATAAAAGGCCAGGAGTTGATTTAAGGTTTGGTGCTTGCATTTGGAAGATTTTGCTGTGAACAGAAAACAGGTGGCCAGCTCCATGCCGTTGAAAAGAAGCCATCCTGAAGCTGAGAAAACAGAAAAAACCCACTCCTAATATTGGTACAATAAATTGAGTGGCAAAATCTACAGTTTGGTACATCGTGAGAAAGAAAGAAGCACTTGTGAACAGTGGTGGATGATTGCAGAATTATTTCCATGGCGATGAGAAACCCCTTCACAATAGCAATTAAGTAAACAACACTCTCCAGGGGGGAAGCATACCACATCATCTGTAAAACACAGCAGAGGCAGTGTGCATGGCTGTTAGTGGCACTGGGACACTAGTGTTTACTGATGATGTGACAGAGGATAGAAGCAGCCGAATGAATTCCGAGGTGTTCAGGGACATACTGTCTGCTTAAATCCAGCTAAATGGAGTCAAATTGATTGGGCAGTGTTTCATAATATGGATTTACAATGACCCAAACAAACAGCCAAATCAACTCAGGAGTTTATTAAAGCAAAGAAGTGGAATATTCTTGAATGGCCAAGTCACCTGATCTTAGCCCAACAGAGCATTTCACTTGCTGAAGACTAAACTTCAGACACAAAGGCTCACAAACAGACAGCAACTGAAAGCTACTGCAGTAACAGCCTGGCAGAGCACTAAAAAGGAGGAAGCCCAACATCTGAGTTCATACATGAGTTCAAGACTTCAGGCTGTCATTGCCAGCAAAGGGCTTTCATACAAGTGTTAGAAATGAACATTTTATTTTCAGTTATTCAATCTGTCCTGTTGCTTTTGAGCATCTGTAATTAAGGGATTGTGTTAAGATTGCTTTGGTTCCTCACATTTTATTTTTATCTTTTTGTTCAACCCACTGAATTAAAGCTGCAGGTCTGCACTTTAACTCCACCTGAGTGGTTTCATTTCAAATCCGTTGCAGTAATGTACAGAACCACAATTAGAAAAAAGTTGTCCGTGTCCAAATATTTATGGACCTAACTGTATTTGTGGTATGACACAATCTTAGCTTTTTCTACCATTAGCATGTTTGACTACATAATTTAATTATAAAATTATGCCTGTTGACTGACTTCATTTTCTTCTCATGTACTCTCCTCCCACCACACACACATACTTCCAGTGGAACCATCTTTTCTTAAGATCTCCAGCATTCCTCAGATCCCAAAGGTGGAGAGGCTGCTGGTTCTTTGCTGTCGCGTGGAGAACTTTTACCCCCAGGACATCGACCTGGAATGGTACAGGAATGATGGGGAGAAGGTCCACCTCGTCACTCACTTTGGCCCCTTCTCTGACCAGAGCCGCCTCTACAATGTGTGGAGTAAGATCGAGCTCATCATGGCCATAGAGGATGAGAGGGCCATGTACACTTGCCGTGTTTACCACTCCAGCTTCCAAGCTCCGGGGTACAAGGATGTCTTTTACCACATCAACACTCAAGGTAGCAGCTTCAAATGTTTTAGATTAGATGAGATTAGATGAAACTTTATTAATCCCTCGGGTGGGTTCCTCCAGGAAATTCAGTTTCAGGGACAAAGGAGTTTTTAAGTCTGTTGGTTCTTGACTTTGGGAGAAGCAACCTGTCGCTGAACAGGCTCCTCTGGTTATTTATGACCGTGTGCAGAGGATGCCCAGCATTGTCCATAATGTCCAGCAGTTTCTTTAATGTCCTTTTCTCTGCCACTGTCACCAGAGTGTCCAGCTTCATGCCGACCACAGAGCTAGCCCTCCTGATCAGTTTTTCCAGCCTGGATGAGTCCTTCTTTACTGTGCTGCTCCCCCAGCACACCAGAGCATAGAAAAGTACTCCAGCAAACACCAGCTGGTAAAACATCCTCAGGAGCTTCCTGGAGATGTTAAAAGACCTCAGCCTCTCTGATTAGATTAGCTGGTTAAGAAAATGTCCTGGTGATGATGTAGTATGCAAAGGTCTTGAGACACCCCCTCATTTCTTTATATCTTGCTAGGAAATGGGACCTAGATGCAGTGATTTATGAAACATGCAGACATAAATGGAAATATGTCTACAGTAAAAATACCACCATGCATAGCTCCCGATAGTTTTCCATGGTCATAATTCTATCAATTTTGACAACATCCCAAACACCACTAGTAGCCCCAAACATGACAGTCTCCACAATGTTTACAAATTTATTTCTCAAGGACATGATACTAATCCTATAGATAGTTTTAAGGCCTCCCACTTTTTCTTTTGTCCTCTTTCGTGTTTTGTAGTTTCCTCAAAGTTTTTAAGGACACACTGAACCTTTCTGCTAAGATATGACAGCTAATGGAAATTTTTGTTGGTGTAAAAAGACTATAACTGTGTTATAGATTCAAAATTGAACTATAGAAATTGGAATAAATCAGGTGTGTGTGTCACAGGCTGAAAACGGTGCCTAAAGATACAATTTGTAATTGGTTTGTTGCTAAGTTTTCTGTTATATGTTCACACAGCACTGGTCAGAGATCAGTCTGAAAATGGTCAGAGGCATATAAGAGGTCCCTTTCTGGCATTAAATTGATTGCAATTTATGGTAAATCACAACCTGACCTTCAGAGTCAAAGGTAGCAGAGACCATGATGCTCTGGGAAGATAGACTAGTCAGTGTTAAAAAGGACTACTTTTCTATCAGCTATGGTGACAGGTTTATGTTTCTTTTTGATGTGTTAAAAGAAACTGGAGTCAAATTCCCAAATGTCAGAAAATAAAACAAAGTGACTAAACTAGCTTTAGCTACTGATGATCTGTGAAACTGTACACTCATTGGCTAACAACTTGTCCTCCTCATCACATCTGGGGTTTTACAACCAGGATGGTGATGACAGAAGCTTTAAAATGGTACTTTAGAAAGTAGCAGGTCATGGTATCTTTTTTGTTGTCTATGCCTCACTATCCTAAATCTACTTACTATCCTAAATTTCAACCACATCTTATAGTTTTTTGGGTTTTTTTGTTACCAGTAGGATACTTTAGACTTGTAATTAGCAATTTAATTATTTAAAATTTTACTTTGAATTACTACTTTATTTCCATTCCACAGTTTGCATTTTCTTTCTCATTGAAAATTATACAAACAAGAGTTATTCAAAATGATCCTTCAATATCAATATATCCATAATGCTTTACTACATGTGTTGCTTTGTTCAAACAGGAACCCCCCCTGATGTGATGTTCATCAACCACGAACCTCAGTGTCCTAAAGTGAATGAAGAGTGTACTTTGCACCTGCACATAAAAGACTTTTGTCCTGAGGAGGTGTTGGTGACATGGACTAAAGATGGAGACAAGGTTGTCTCTGGTGTCTTTAATACTCCCCCCAGCCTGAACGTCAACGGCCTGTACTCCATGTTCAGTTTCCTCAAACTCAATCCCACCAAGAATTACCAAGGCTGCACATTCAAATGCCAGGTGGTTCATAGTGCTCAGAAGGAGCCTGAGGAAAGGCTCTTCATATTTCCAAAACTCTGCCTGACAGACAGCTGTTGATGTCTAAACCTACTTTGGACCATTTCACATCTGGGGAGTAAATAATTTTAGTTTTAATTCTGCAGTTCTGCTGACTACAAAACTGTAAAACAGAAAACAAAAAAAATTGAAATGCTTTAGTTTGATATCTGCAAATTTTATCCTGCCTGAATATCACTTTAGGTTAAACAGGCTGGGTTATCCACATTTAAGACTGCTATAAACCTTTTCTGACAATCTTAAAGACCACGTGATGCCCTCTGGATAATACAATAGCCATTTCATTATTATTTTTTGTTTTTATCACACACAATATTGTATTTCATATAGTTAACAGTGTCAGTTAACTATTAAGCCATTAAACTAACTCTTCTAAGGTGATGCTAGGCGCTCTACCTTCTAAGCTACCTGCAGAGTTAGTGCAGTCAGTGCACACGCTGCTTTGAATTTACTCTAAGTTTTGAGTAACCTTGGTTTCATTGCTATATGTTCCTATATGTATTCTAATTGCTGCATATTTTTTTGTTCTATTTTTTTGTGCAGAACATTTTTATTTGTATAGCAAACTGTAGTTTGTAGTTGCAAACAATTTCAAGTTTTGTTACAAAGATTGTTGAGAGAGGGACAATTGTTTTGTTGTTGTTTTCTATTAACAGAATTAAATGTTGAAACACAAGTAAGTGTGTTCTAATTCCTTAAAAATTATTATTTTAATTTCAATTTATAATTTGTGTATTCCAGTTACAGTGTCACAATGTCATTTTAATTAAGTGAAAATTTACATGATGTGATAAAGCAGGGGTAATCAATTACAAACCCAACAGGTCCGGTTACTAAGATTTCTTTCACAACAAGGTCCAGATCTCAAGTCTTTTTCATCCCATGGATTAGGGTTAAATCGAAACCATATATTTCCCTTTCATTATAGTAATATTTAAGTTTTTGTTCAAATTAGGACACATGAGTAACAGAGTGAACCTCAGGCCTTACTTGCAAATAATAAAAATATTCTTTTTCAATTTTAAAATTTCTATTTTCTGAATCAACTTTTTTCACCTTCAGTTGTCTGCTCCTCTCTATTTTGTGTCTGCAGTAAGCTAGGGTTTGATTGGCTTACCTAACTACGTAAACAGTAGGCGATTACTGTAGGGACTGGTTTACCTGCGACCATTGTTTTATGGTGTACTGATAAAACAGTGCTCTGGGTTTATGCATTACGGGCAAATTTTTTCTGTCACTGATTATTGGTCTGGACAGAACGAGCACTTCGTCTGGATCTGGACCAAGCTCTGCCATTTGGTGATATATGTGATAAAGCAACCCAACATTAAAAAAAAAGAAGAAATTTTTTTTTTAAAGGCGAAAATGTAGTAATGCTTTATTGAAGCAGTTTTATGTCATTATTATACTGCTGGCAAAGTAAAGCTAGTATTTTGCTGATTTCTTTTGTTTTGAGGTTCATAGCCATTTGATTTTATAAATTATTGGTTCAAAACAATTCTACTAAATCTACCAGGTTGGCTTTGTCAGTTTTATTTACCTTCTACCGTGAAATAACAGTACAAATAGAAGGCAACATTGCAGACATCAAGGGCAGCTAAAAGTCCCTGGGAATCCCACAGGCAAATGGCAACCACGAAGAAGCTGCTAGGAAAGTTGCAACCACGAAGTACCTGCAGAGGGTCAGGCAAGTCCTGAGGAGTCAGCTGAACGGTAAGAACAAGATCCGGGTTATCAACACCTACGCCCTGCCCGTGATCAGGTAAGGTAAAGCAGGGAAATGCCCTGTAACTTACTTTAAAACGAAATATGTTCCCTAAAACGATGGACAGAGCTACAGACCCATGACACCCTGTGCAGTTAATAAAAGGACAGGTAATGTTCGTCGCTCACACAGTACACTCATTTGTTTCAGTTCATCAGTTGCCACAAGACAGCTTACCAACATGTACACAATAACCTAATACTCCTGTGTCCTAGACGTCACAAGAAGGTAACTATACTTTAGTTACTATAGATGAAAAGATATCTTCTTGCTGGATGCAGAAATGTTAAATTATTATTAATTTTATATAGATGCTACTCTGAAAGTGCTGCTGAGCCTGGATTTGCCTGTTTTATTAGACAGATGGTCAGAGCTGGTGTCCCCCTCTCCATCATCGTGTCCATCATTGCTAATAAAAGGAGTTATTTACAACCTCTTCACATGCCATCTTCTCCATATCACCAAGGTATGAGGAAACTCATCTGTCACAATGATAAATCTCTGAAGCTTGTTTATTTGCTGGATGTCTTTCTGCACAACTGTAGCTGATCTCAGAGTGGTGAAAGAAGAGGCAGTGGCCTTGCTCTGTTAAATCAGTGCCAATCTGCCACTGATTTAAGGTTAAGGTTACTTTACTTATACCTGTAGGTAAATTTACTTTACAGAAGAATGATAGCATTTGACATCCCTTCAGATGAAACGTAGGACTGTTGGGTGCTGCTTGTGCACACGCCCCGTCAATTTAACGTATCATCCAAATGGTTAAAAAAAGATTAAGCCATAGTTGTTATGAAAAGTGTCCATAGAGATTAAAACAGTTATCTGTACTTATTTGTACCAGGTTTTAAATGTTTATTTCTCAGAAAGATTAGTATTTTACTGGTATTGCACTGGTGTATCAAACTGATTTGAAGGAATTACTGCTCTCTGGCACACTGCAAAGCAGTAAGTTAACACTTAATAATTGAGCTTCCTGTATTGGTGCTGCTTATATTCATGGGTCTCACCAATATAAGATGAGACACTTGTAACAATCAAACGTGAAACAAAAGCACACAGAAAGCTCCAGATGTGCCTTTATTCATTTACAGCACATTGCTGAGAGTTATAACAAAGGTTCAAAGTACACAGCTTTGCCAAAAAAATAAAAAAACAGTGGTCCTTGGAAAATATTAACATTTAAACACAAAAAAGTGTGGAACCAATTATAACTTGATGACTTTCAGAATGCTTTTTTTCCTGTCTGTGGCATAGATGAGCACACTGAATCTCTGAGTCAAAGCAAAGCAAATGATTATATAGTAGGTCAGTATAATCACAAACTGCAGATGCATTACAGAGAATTCATAACTTATTAACCACACTGGGTAAATCTGGAACACAAGGCAAATGCTCAGATTTTTTATTCTCAAACATCTGTAATTATTCAGTTATGGAGTCCTTTTCTTAAAAATTTAAATCTTTTTAAAATTACAGAAACACATTCTTACAACAATAATCAAAATAAATACTAAAGATATTCTAGGCTATTCAGAGGTGTGCCTGTATCTCTTTGTTCTAAGGATATTTTTAAACCACCTGACATCTTCAGGTCTGATGGACCTGCAGGTCCGTTTACATTTGGCAGGAACTTGAGCTGATTTTGGTCATATTGCAGTTATGTCTGCGACATTCATGTACATACTCCCTAGTTATCTGATATTCTAACATTTTTCAGACATATAAGGCATATGAAGGTTGAACAGCCAACTACATCCTCTTCGTAGTGAATGCAGTTCACCCCAGCTCCACAGTAAGTCGTAGGTGTAACTCCATGATGTTGAGAATTTTTTTTTCAACTAAGCATTCACCATAAATTGGTGTTACAGCAAAAAAAAGGAGGAAGAAGATAAAGAAAAATCTAGCTGACTTAAATCCAAAAGGTTTGCTCTAACCAGAAAATTGCCCAAGTACAAAAATACAACAATATATTGCTATTGTTAGTGATGTGACTGGTGTGAAATCACTACAGAAAAAATCTTTATCTGAAGCAACTGTTAGGGCACTTTGGAAGCATACACAATCAACTCACTCAGAATCCATCTAAAAGTGTAAAACCTGAGTCCATCTTGACAGTAGCATTATTGACAAATTTAATGTAAAAACAGACAAAAAATAAGAGCACGCTGTGGAGACTGGCTGATCAGCTGAAATCTCGGTTGGTGAAGATCATGGGGGCCACCAGTGTCCATGTGTACAAAGCCAAACAAACCCAGCTGGAGGTGATTTTCACCCATACTGCTGGCCACTTGCTTGTTATGGTGTAGTCTGTATTAGGGCTGTCAGAACAAAAAAATGCAATAAGTATATTTATAAAAAACTGAGAAAGCTACTTTAAGAAGGAAATTCCTTAACTTGTTCAAGCAGAAATCACAAAATCTCTGCACCTCAGAAAAATAAGGTCAGCATATCAATTATACAGTAGGAAATGCCTTTGCTTGGCCTATATGGTGCCATTAAACCCCTAATGAAACATTGTGGGACCATTTACAGTTTTAACAATGAGTTATGAATTTCCTAATATAAATAAAAGCACAATGGACTGACAGCTGCACAGAAAACTAGATCATAATCAAAAAAAGAGTTCAAAACAAAAGATGAAACATATTTTTCAGTAGCGATGATTATACTGATCTTGTAATGACCGTAAACAGGGAGCTAAAATTAATAAAAAAATGGATGGACATAAATAAATTATCATTAAATATAAATAAAACTAAAGCAATGTTTTTTGGTAATTTAAAATATAATGTAGAATTACCAATTATCATTGAAGGTGTACCAATTGATAATGTGAGTGAAAACAAATTTTTGGGAGTCGTAATTGATAATAAAATTTCATGGAAACCCCACGTCAGACACATAAAAACCAAAATTTCCAGAAGCCTCGCAGTTTTGAACAAAGTGAAACAATTCCTTGATGCACTTCGTACTCTGTACTGTACCCTGGTTCTTCCATATCTTACATATTGTGTGGAAGTGTGGGGAAACACATATAAAAATACAACTAATCCATTAGTCACAGTACAGAAACGAGCACTGCGTATTATTCACAAGGCTGGTTATCTAGATCATACTCACAAATTCTTTCTTCAGGCAAAGTTACTTAAATTCCAGGATCTGGTTAATTACAATACATCCATAATTTTGTATAAAGCTTTTACTAAACTTTTACCGGCAAATTTACAAACTAGATTTGAAATTCGAGAAAAGGTTTATAATGTGAGAGGCTTTGGAGAATTCAAATTACCCAGAACTCGAACAACCCGTAAAGGTTTTTGTGTGTCTGTATGTGGTGTGAAAATCTGGAACAGTCTGAGTTTACAATTGAAACAATGCAAAAATATTCATAGATTTAAATTTCTCTACAAACAGTTGGTTTGGTCACAGTATACTCAATGATGGGTTTTAGTGTGCTCTGTAATGTCTGTCCTCTTACCATTGCTGGTATGGATTCCAAAAAAAAAAAAAAAAAAAGTGTGTGTATGTATGTACATATATGTACATGTGTGTGTAGATATATATGTATGTATATGTATGTGTGTTTGTTACTTGTAGTTATTACTGCCTGTTACCTGTGGTAATGCAATTTATAATTTATATATTCTGTATTCAGTTATGAAGGCTCTAATTGTTGTTTGCGAGCTGCCGTTTAGATGCTTGTATGTGCCCGGGGCTGTTGATGTGTCTGTATGCAATGATGGGCGTAGCTGCGGGAAGTTTGTTTTTTTTTTGTTGATGAGTGAGTATAGGGGTGGGATTTAATAAGTTTTCTTCGTCCCACTCCTTTTTCAGGCAATTTTTGTTTTTTGTTTTGTGCATTTTATGTTCAATATAGGTATTTGTTGTGCCTGAAAATGAACAAATAAATGAAATGAAATGAAATGAATATGCAAATTCAGTAGACCATTGTTGTCCTCATTCTTCTTGGTACTACTTGACCGAATAATACCAGCCGCAGACACCAATAAAGGGCAATTCTGGATATTTAAACCATTTTCTGGGTTATGTTAGTGCCAGACTGTGACTCTCATGGTCAACCATAACATTTGTGTCATATCACGTCTCCCTCTGACACAAAAATAATTGGATGTGTTTTGGTTTATAACCTATTTTGAATGCATTGCTTCATATAGCATTTATCCCTTCTGTTGTTTAGTTTCTGTCAGTCTGGTTCATGCATCTGAATGGATACAATTGCATGAAACAGTGTTTGCCACACTTAAATGTTTCACATCATCAAACAAATGTAAATATTTGACAATAATATGCAGTTTTTTCAATAAAGGTTTTAAAATAAAGATCCAAGGAAATTCAGGAGAACTGAGAATCAAAGTAATTGACATATTTCAGTGTGGAAAAGGTTATGAAGCCATTTTTAAGGCTGTGGGACTCCAGTGAACCACAGTGAAGCTTCCCAGGAGTGGCTGTCTGTTTAAAATTACCCCAAGGATGCAGCGACAACTCATCCAAGAGCTCACAAAAGACCCCCAGAATGCTTTTGTGAGCTCTTGAAAAAAAAATTGAAAAGAAGAAGAATGCTTGGACACTGCTAGCACACAAACGCAATGCAGAGGATGAAGCATCACCAAATATGTTTCCAAAACAGCTTCCTTCCAAAACCCTCCAATGTGGCTGAATTACAACAGTTCAGCAAAGATGTACAGGCCAAAATTCTTCCCCAGCGCTGTAAAAGACTCATTTCCAGTTATTGCAAACACTTGATTGCAGTTGTTGCTGCTAATGGTCCCAACCAGTTATCAGGTTTAGGGGGCAATTACTTTTTCACACAGGGCCATCATTTTAATTTGTCTGATGCTCTGAAACATTTAAGTCTGACAAACATACCAAAAAATAGCAAATCAGGAAGGGGGCAAACACTTTTTCACACACTGTATAAAAAGGAAATGAAATAAACTACCATTCACATATATATATTGTAGGATTATTGACCACCCAAACACTTCAAACTACACTTTAGGTGTTGTGCTAAAAGAGAAGGGAGCCACTGACCTGTACCAGTTAGTGAGGGTCATCATGATGTAAAGTGAGGCCAAGAAAAGCATGAAATGAAAAAAGGAGTAGCTGTACTGGACCATGTCCCGCTCATTGTCCTCCACCCGTCTGGGCCCTGTCGACTCCTCTGACAGTTCTGTGCTGCCCCCCTCAGCGAGGATGACTGAATCTTTGGATGCCATAGTTAGCTTGTTAACCTGGCTGTTGCTGGATGAACGAATGCTGGAATCAAAACAGAGATGAATGAACTGACCAAAAAGAAAGAAAAGCAAGTATTAGGATCACAGTATGAAAAAACAACGGACACAAACACAGTTCACATTAACAAGGAAGGCTTAGAAATGGTCAACCCTTCACCAGGTGAGGAACCATAACTAGTAATTACAGCAGTACTCTACACCAATAACAGCACAGTGTTGAAATTTTTAAGCCAAAGACTAGAAAAGTCTTTGGCTTATGATGGAGGAAACTGGCTACAGAGATCAAAATCATTTTTTGCATCAGTCTGTAAGCATGTTTTTTTTAATGCTCATTAACACTGCAGTCTACAGTAAAAAGAGGTCAAACAGACGGGTTCTTATATAGCGCTTTTCTACTCTAACAAAGCACTCAAAGCGCTTTACACAACATTTACAATGTTACCTGGAATACAGGATGCACAAGATAAATATAATGAGGCCCACAACGCTCTGAGCATCCCACCACTGCAGGTATGGAGATGTAAAGGCAGGTTTTTCTGTCCCAGTGATTGTGGTAATCATTGCCATGGTGGCTGTCTGGTTCTCGGTCTCTGTAGGGCCCGGGGTCGGGGCTGCGATCTGCTGGAAGATACTCAACAGGCTGGGGTTGCATTCCCGGTCTGAGATCAGCAAAACAAACAATAACAATATTAATTAAAAAATACTTTAAAAAACAATTTGAACAAAATAACCCAAAGCTTTTCTAAAAAGCAATAAATCTTAAGGTTATGAGACAAAAAGATCTTTTATTTGAAATGAATGGAGAAGAACATAAATATATGCAGATAAAGGAGTGTTTGAGTCTATTGAAATTCCCAGACAATATAAACAGTCTCACCAGGCTCATTGGTCATGGCAGACCAAGTTAGAAACACAGTGTACAAGGTGATGAAAGAAGACTGTAGTAGACCTGAATGAGGTTGAGACTCCTGCAAATACACAGATAAGGTTTATCAGTGCCAAGTATTTACTTCCCACAGGTTTGAACTGAAACTGTACATATGTATTATAGAAAAAGAAGTCATAATCCTGTGTTTACTGTTTAAGCACTCCAAACACAAAAATTAACCTTTGTTTATTATTTAGAAAATATCTAGATGGTTAAAAAAGGCCAGCAACAGTGGGAATGTTTGTGGGTAGCTTGGGAAAACCATCCATCCATCCATCTTCATCCGCTTTATCCGGGGCCGGGTCGCGGGGGCAGCAGCCTAAGCTTGGGCAAACCTGTTCTGCTAAACTCTAACATGAAAGGTTTTTTTCCTGATAACTTTTTACTGTCTGTACTTTCTACTTCTTACATTTTCAAAACAGGCTTGTTACTTTTGGTTTAACGCATTTGAAGGAAGCTATCATTTCACATCACTGGCCTTCACACATCAATTTTAAGCCTAAACAGTAAAAAATGAAAGGTAATCATGTTCGTGCATTAATCACCAGGGGATATCGCATAAAAGAGAACAAAGAGGCGCAGTCGTGTGCCATAGTGGGCAGTTTAAGTGGGTTGTGTTTTCTTTTTTTTGAGCAGCAGGTCAGCTGATCACAGTACATTGAGTGAATTGTGCTTTTTGTCACCATCTGTAAAACTGATTTTAGGGTTCCCTGCCCGCTGAATCTCACCTTAACCCCTGACTGTACTCATGTTTCTGTTTTGAGGCAAAGAAAATACAGCTATTTTTTCATTTTCCTTCTTTTTCGAGTTTTTCTTGTTCTAATTGATTAATTCAACCTGAGTACATTTATTAGAATTAAAATTTAGACTTAAATAATGTTTTTATTCCCATCTGATATTATTTTATTATTGCATTAACACGGTTCAGTTAGTTTTGCACAAAAATAGCTGGTAGAAATGTTATCAATAGAGCTATGTTTACTTTTCAATATTATCTCCTATAGCAAAACTAAACCAAGCTGCTACAAAACACAGTCATAATGTTTTGAAATAACAGAATTATGAGAGAGATATCCAACCATTTTCAGGTTTATTCTGTCTTTCCGTTTTACACTGTCAAACTCAGCAAAGGGGCCTTAGCATCAATTCCATGTAGATGCTACTATAGATGCTCATCATGACATGATGCTAGTAGCACAAACATTTGCAAACACAAAGCAGAATCTTCAGTGCTTAGAATAGTGTGTCTTGTTTTTGTTTTCTGTTTATCTGTGCATCGCAGACATGCCGTGTATTCACACCTGGACTTTTGGCAGGACTGAGACAACAGAGGCAACTATGCAGAGCAACATGTTGAAGCTGATGAAGAATTTGTTGATGAAGCATTCATTGGGTTTCGTGTAGAAGACAAAGAACAGCACAACAGCTGTTAATGACAGGATGTAGTTCAGGATCGTGACAGCCAGTAGAGCTAAAAATACAAGGTAGAAACAGTTCAAAGCTGAAACCAAAAAACTGATTTGAAAGTAGATTTGTGAAATCTGTGTGTGCTACATGTACGCTTTTTAAAAAAAAATTTCAGAGTAAGTGCTCGCTTATGTAACAGTATTTAGAAGATGAATACAGCATGTAACTGGGCCAGAGTCACTGACCTGCATACCAGCCTCTGGAGTTGCCATTCTCCATCTTGTCAACCCAGGACTCATTCCAGGAGTGGGCAAAGTCCACCAGCAGCACCAGTTGAATCAGAATGAAAAAGAAGGCTCCACCAGAGCCTATGACAAACCATACTGCGACAACACAAATACACAAGTAATTGAACTACTCGTCTTTCATACAAACTAACAAATCTGTGTGTAAAAGAGATCTGAGTTATCAAGGATTTTAAATACAAATTCTTACTGTAGGTGAAAGGCCCTTCAGGGATGTAAAAGGCACCAACTGTAATTGCCACCAAGGCAGCAAACTTAAAGAACCAAAATCTGAAACAAATTGTTACTGTCATAAGTCTCAGGAAAACTGTCTCAATCAAATATCTCATCTGCTTTCACAGTGGCTTGCAAAAGTATTCGGCCCCCTGAATTTTCCCACATTTTGTCACATTACAGCCACAAACATGAATAAATTTTATTGGAATTCCACGTGAAAGACCAACACAAAGTGGTGTACACGTGAGAAGAGGAACGAAAATCATACATGATTCCAAACATTTTTTACACATAACTGCAAAGTGGGGTGTGCATAATTATTCAGCCCCCTTTGGTCTGAATGCAGTCAGTTGCTCATAGACATTGCCTGATGAGTGCTAATGACTAAATAGAGTGCACCTGTGTGTAATCTAATGTCAGTACAAATACAGCTGTTCTGTGACGGCCTCAGAGGTTGTCTAAGAGCAACAACACCATGAAGTCCAAAGAACACACCAGACAGGTCAGGGATAAAGTTACTGAGAAATTTAAAGCAGGCTTAGGCTACAAAAAGATTTCCCAAGCCCTGAACATCCTACGGAGCACTGTTCAAGCCATCATTCAGAAATGGAAGGAGTATGGCACAACTGTAAACCTACCAAGACAAGGCCGTCCACCTAAACTCTCAGGCCGAACAAGGAGAGCGCTGATCAGAAATGCAGCCAAGAGGCCCATGGTGACTCTGGACGAGCTGCAGAGATCTACAGCTCAGGTGGGGGAATCTGTCCACAGGACAACTATTAGTCGTGCACTGCACAACGTTGGCCTTTATGGAAGAGTGGCAAGAAGAAAGCCATTGTCAGAAAAACATAAGAAGTCCCGTTTGCAGTTTGCCACAAGCCATGTGGGGGACACAGCAAACATGTGGAAGAAGGCGCTCTGGTCAGATGAGACCAAAATGGAACTTAGTGGCTAAAATGCAAAACGCTGCACATCACTCTGAACACACCATCCCCACTGTCAGATATGGTGGTGGCAGCATCACACTCTGGGGGTGCTTCTCTTCAGCAGGGACAGGGAAGCTGGTCAGAGTTGATGGGAAGATGGATGGAGCCAAATACAGGGCAACCTTGGAAGAAAACCTCTTGGAGTCTGCAAAAGACTTGAGACTGGGGCGGAGGTTCCCCTTCCAGCATCAACAACCCTAAACATAAAGCGAGGGCAACAATGGAGTGGTTTAAAACAAAACATATCCATGTGTTAGACTGGCCCAGTCAAAGTCCAGATCTAAATCCAATTGAGAATCTGTGGCAAGATCTGAAAACTGCTGTTCACAAACGCTGTCCATCTAATCTGACTGAGCTGGAGCTGTTTTGCAAAGAAGAATGGGCAAAGATTTCAGTCTGTAGATGTGCAAAGTTGGTAGAGACAGACCCTAAAAGACTGGCAGCTGTAACTGCAGCAAAAGCTGGTTCTACAAAGTATTGACTCAGGGGCTGAATAATTACGCACACCCACTTTTCAGTTATTTATTTGTAAAACATGTTTGGAATCATGTATGATTTTCGTTCCACTTCTCACGTGTGCACCACTTTGTGTTGGTCTTTCACGTGGAATTCCAATAAAATTGATTCATGTTTGTGGCTGTAATGTGACAAAATGTGGAAAAGTTCAAGGGGCTGAATACTTTTGCAAGCCACTGTATATCCAGAGTCCAATCAGTTACCCTGAAAGGTCCAAACACACTTTGATTTTGATATGAATGTGCATCACACATGTATTTATTTAATACTTATTTAGTGACTTTATTAGAATTTATTACTATTACTTTTTTTTATGTTATGCTGACCTTACACTTAAACTTGAAAGACACACTGCTGGTGAGACCAAAATAAAACCAAATAAGACCTTTACAGCCAAATACGATAATGGACATTATATATGTGCTAGAATGACATTGGACAGCTATGATAAATATTTATTGTTGCATTTTTAAAACTTTGTAAACTAAAAAACAAAGGTCTTCTGCTAAAACACATCTTGTATAATTTACATTTTACAACCTCACAGTGTTAAAGAGCCAAGGTGGACTAGAGTGCAAACACAGTGAAGGCCTGGAAATGCGATATTTAAATGCAAATGATCTATGGCTGCTTTGTTTATGTACCTGCTATGGTTTAAAAAAGTCTAAAACTGAACCTTAGGATTGGTAGGACTGTGCTGGTAAAAATATTTACATCTTGCTAGCTTTACTGCAGTACTTACCCATTGTGGATAGCAGCACGTGGATCTCTGCTGTTCTTTATGTTTATCATGAGAACGGAGAACCCCAAGAACCACATACTCATTCCAAAGCATATACGGTAAACTGCTTGGTACCCCACAAACATCTCACACTTGACATCCGCCTGTAGACCACGGACAGACGAACCTGCCCCATCCTCACAAAAGCCTGGGATCTACAGAAAATCAGAGAAAGACCCTTGTTTTCTGTACATCCAGACGAGATTTTTATATGCATATGAGGCTTTTAAGAGAGTGTAAAGAAGAGCCACCTTTGAAATACGTTTCTAGTTAGACACAATGTTTTCTAAGATTTTTAATACTAAATACAATAACCTGAATTTTATCAGAATTTAGTAGAAGAAAATTACAGGTCAAATGTATGTCATGTTTTCTAATAATACTGCCTCAAGCACGTATAAAAAAGTATTGGTCCTAGCACAGAACCCTGTGGAACTCCATTACTAACTTTGTTATGTGAAGAAGGCACCCTGTTTACTTGAACAAACTGTAATCTATTAGATATACATGGTTCAAAGCAGTTCAGTGTATTTCCTTCAAATCCAACAGTGTGGTCCATGCTGTCTCGTATAATCTTATAGTCAACAATACTGATTTAGCAGGACAGGTACAAAGAGTCCACTGTCTGAGGCCATAAGAAGTACGGGTACACCACCTGAACTTTTCTTAGCTGATTATGATTTCAAAATTTCTAAAGTACGTTTTGCAGATTCTGATTTGTTAAGAAGTATAACTAATGAAAACAACAAGAACCTTTTTCTAATCTGAGCTTTATATCATTTCCACTTTCCTTCTAATGATCTCTCCTCACTGAAATGACATGCTGATGGCACGGTGAAATTAATTATTAAAGTTAGTTCAAAGAGATCAATTAGAGAGAAGCCATCTAAATAAATATCACCAGTTGCTGTACTTAGCTCCTGTAGGAAGGATGTTACTGTTTTTTTTTTCACCAATGATTCAAATTTTATTTGTTCTCGCAACCAGAGCTAAACTCAACAGGAAGCTTTATTGCCGTAATTCAGGGAACAAAGTTCAAAAATTGAGACTAGGTAGAAACTAGGAACAAACTAAGCACTAGGAAAGAAACATAGCTCGAAGGGAACAAATGACAACAACATGACAAAGAACAGAGAGACAATATATACGCAGCAGGGAATTTTGTGTTTTGATATATATTTGATATATCCTCATGATATTGTTGTTACTAGTTCAGCATAAGTCAAGATTGCATGTGAACAATCAGATTGTTATGATGTCAAAGCTTTGTGACTTGGAGAAAAACCTGCTGATGTCTACTCCGAGTTAGGGCTATGGTGTTAGGGTTGTGATGATCGAGCTTCTTTTACAGTCAGAAGTAAATAAAGAAAAGTCTCTAGTCCAGTCTCAGGTCTTTAGCAGCAATAATGTAATAGGTTTTCTACAAGATTTTATCTGTCTCTGACATTGATAAGGAGAAAATTTGGCTCTTTCATCTTTATGAAATTGCTTTAGTACACTGAGGTTTGTAGACATCTGTTTACGCACAGCCTGGACTTGTGCTGACATGCGGTTTGGCTTTCATCAAAATTATCATCATCTCCACTTTAATCCTAACTTTTTACTAGCAGTAAATAAGGTGTAAAGTACTATTATTATTAGAGTTATTATTATTATTATTGACTATTTATTTTCCAAAACACCATAAGCTAAAAAAATGCTCAGAATTAAATAGAAATAAAAAATGCAATTAAAGAAAGTAAATACTGTGTGGAGCCTGCGGCTTAATTTGACCCAACACGGGAAACCTCACCCGGACACGGAAAGGAGTGACAGATTGATATTTAATTTAATTGCTTCGGTTTATACATATTCAAGTTTTCCTTATCTTAAATGATTTTACCTTTCATTAAAATAGCTTCTGTTATTGCTGGACGTCATCACTTATCACATATTCTAATTTCTTGGTACTATTTCTTGGGAGCTATGAATCTGGATTGGACTGTGTTATCTGGGGCTGACATGTCATCTGCTCCTTGACTTCCACTTGTTTTCTTCTTTTTCTTTTTTCATATGAACTTTGATTACAAACTTTACTTGAATCACAGTTAATGTCTCAGAGGAAACAACATTGTTATGTCAGCATCACTTTTTATTTCTCCATTTTTAAACAATTGTCAACGATTGTTTTAAACGAGAAACAAATTGTGCTGATGCACGTGTTATAAATCTCATGGTGGCTTTGCATGAATGCTCATTTTTTTGCATCAGTTATGCACCAGTTTCAACCATTATAATTTCATTTTAACTTTAAATAATAGACATTTACATTCACAATAAAGTTTATATCTTATGGTATTTTTATGGTCAACTCCTACCCTTTTGAGCTGCCGATCCACACCCGGTGACAGCATGATGCAGGCAACGATGGTGCCTATCAGCATTATAAAGGCATAGATGATCCTGGTCACCGTGGAGTTTCTGATGCTCGGACAGCAGCTACACATCAGGCACGTAGCACTGCTGCACAGGCACGGCACCTGGAGGATCAATAAAAAAATCACACTTGAAGCAAAAGTGGAACATCCAGGGATATGTGTAAGGAAAGATGTAAGCGATCAATGTGAGAACACAACATATACATGTTCTTAATCAAACATTTACCGCATAATATAAAGATGCACTTTACTAAACCTTTGGATTTTTGTTTTTTAAATTCCAGTACTGACAACAAGCACACACAACACATTTTAGTAACTTAGAAAAATATTTCAATCATTTATTTTAGATTTTCAACTATTCAACTGCCAGTATAGACTGATCTTGATGTTTGTACTGTTATGCTGTACACAGTCTACTGTAACGTCTCATTGAGTAACACTGAATGACTCAGCACAGCACTGGCAATTAGAGACAATGACATTCAGAGAAAAACTACTTTGCACTGAGAGCACTCTGTATTTTGACCACTGTGCCATCTGATATGTTGTGTCATAAAGTGACTACTTTATTGCCATCAGGCTTGAGGACATATGAAGCAGATTGGCTTGTGTGGTTCTGAGACTTTAAACAAATTATCCCTCGTTAAGTTTTTTTTCTGCAGGTTAAAAAGTTGTCACAAGTTTGCTTATTACTGGACATTTCCTTCACTCTTATTGTGAAAATTACTTAGTTAATCCTAATGAGTTTGCAGCAGTCCTTCCCATGTCCTGTTTTCCCCTGCCTGAATATAATTAACGATGAAAGCTTTTATTGGCAGCTGCTGTCATGGAGAAACTTGTATGTATCTCTTTTCTGGAACTGCAAATAAAGCAGAAGCACTGAGTGTTTCCAGCTGTTGCAAACTGACAGAGTAAAGTATTCTGCAGTAAACTGGACTAACTGACACATGGAACCTGAGGCCTCATTGTCTCATTTTTTCTGTAAGTTAAATGTGTGATTTCTAAGATAATGAGTAAATCAATATTCTTAGTTTGCTAGGCAAGACGAGGAGTGAGCTGTCGGGGGAAAGCTGGTGTTTGGTAACTAATACATACTGTTACGTTTCGGTGTTGTCAGTGTTTTGTTTTTTGCGTGACTGTCATGTATTTCCTGCTTTACTTTGAAAGTCTGTGTTATCTTAGTGTGTTCAGTTTACGTTTCCTTGTCTCGTCAGGTCTAATTTGCCCCAGCTGTGTTTCCCTCCTGTGGTCCATTCCCTGATTGCTCCTTCTATGTATTTAAGCCTTGTGTTTCAGTATGTCATGGTCGCGATCTCCCCCGTGTTGTAAATAAATAGTTTGTTGTAAATAGTTGTGAATGGGTTTGTCAATGCTTTCGTTATGGGATATTTTCGTTTTGGGATTTTGGTGGAGAGCCTTCGTGGTTTTATTTTCCTTATTTCTGTTTTTCTACGTTGCACCCCGGTTGCCTAGGCCGGGATGTAACAATACATAAATGAATTTGCTTGCACATGAGTGAGCTTGAATGTTAATTAAAAGTACTATAGTTCAAACACTACCTTGGCTTCTCTGACTGTACTGAACAGAAGGATATTAAGACTTCTAGCTGGTACTTAAAGATGAGCCACTTAAACCTGTTTATATGAGAAACAGATAAAAGTCATTGGGCCTGCCTAGTCACTAACTAATGTTACAGTTACTGTTCATTTAATATGAACATAATATTATAAGAACAACAGGCTGGGCTCTTCTTCTTATGATTATCAAATATTTGCAAACGGTAACATGTTTCTGTCTCTCTCCACACATGTATGGATAGTAACACAAATTTTAAAAATATTGGCAAGCACCAGTGGTACCCCGCAGCCTCCTGGTAGATGCACCTATAGTATTGATTTGAAAGTCCTCGGTGACTTCCTTCTTAAGTTATCGCATTCACAAACTTGAGTGTCTATGCTGCCCGCCTGCCTGGCAATATCTGAAGCTGTTATAGCTGCAAAGGGTGGGCCGACATCTTCATATATCAAATCTATTTCAAGATATAAATTTATTGAAAAATGAATATTGACCCACTTCCAGCATGTTTTTCCACACTTTGGAATCTGAAGTTAGGTCTCAAAAAATATTAAAGACAAAAGCCTGAAGTTTTAAATACCCCTTCCTACCATGACATTGAATCAGAACCTGCAATGTTGAACAGACACATGAAAAATGTTTGAGTACTGGCTAGTTAAAATATGACAAAAAGGAATTCAAGCAGTCCTGTAAAGCCCCTTATTTAAGCAGAGGCTAATAAAAAAACATTTCTGAATGGTATATTGTTGTATGTTGTATTTATTGTGGTCAAAGTTAAAGTAAACTTTATTGTCATCTGTGCTATATACAGTATATAGAGAGACGAGACAACGAGGCTCCAGTTCCATTCAGTGCAAAAGACAAACAATAAATATAAGAAGAGTAAGAAACAAATATACACTTTAAGATTAAGGTAAAAGGTATACACAAATAGAATACTTGTTAGCATAAAATTCTTAATCACAAATGAAATGAAATGAAAGAAAATGCTACTTCAATCAACTTTCATGCTGGATGGAACAAATATGACAAGTTGTACCACAATAGCATATCAGTAGGGATCAGGCAACCAGCATGCTGACTGCCAGAATAGATGCTGCAAATATATATTATATAATATGTATATATGTATTTATTTAATTTCTTTTTTGATGCACAATTAACGCACAGAGGAATTCACGCACAGTATGTGACTTTGGCCACTTTCGTAGTTCAGGATGTCTGCAAGTGACGCAGCAGTAACAATATGTATGGTGAGCAGAAAGTGATAAAGAAAAGAGACTTTTGAATGGCAAGTTCAAAAAGCTTTGTCAAATGGTCCCCTTGACAAGACCAGTTTTTTTATTTGTATTAAGATACATAATTTGTAGAAAGATAAAATGGAGGAAGCAAATGTGGTTTACTCACTGGAAACTACTGGACCACAGTTACCTTGTGGTAAAGGCACATTCATTTGGACCACAGTGGGAACATGCTTTAAATGTTGTGAGGACAGAGGAGACGCACTTTGCCAACATGTGCGCCAATAACTTTATGCAAGTGGTCTATTCTACCTCTTGAATTAAAGACACTGCATGCCCTCTATGGGGATGCAGTGTCTTTAAGGCTTTCCTGGAGAATATTCATTATACATTCAATATACATTAACAGTTAGAGCTACAGAATCATGTGTGATGTTGTATCAAACTATAGTATGGTAATATGTGTACCTAAATGTATCAAAATTTCAGTATTCACTTTCATTTAATGAGCTATCAGTTGCAGTAAAACCCCCAGGAAAGACTGTTAAAACTGGGGCAGCTATTTAAGAAAGGCAGCATGTGGTGTTTGTGGTCAGACCCAGCAGGCCTGTGGGCAGGAATTTGTCACAGCGACTCCTCCTCTAATATATACTTTAGCTACATTGATTCTACAGCTTTGAAAATATGCCACGAGAATATTTGTTTAGCGTTATGTAAAATATATATTGCTACTCCAAAGTTTCTAAGTCTAGTTTGGCTAGACTTAGAATGTGCCCACAGGCCTGCCCACATGACACATGATTGTGGGAAGCAGTAATATAATGCAAGTAGTACATGCTAACCTTTATATGTATATGTATGTTAGTGTCTTTACTTAGAAATATAACTGGACTAAACTGATAAAGTTTTGGTGTAGTAAAAACAAAACAAACAATCACAGCCTGACATTGTCAGACAGCATATGTATTAATTTACAGTAAACCACTGCCTGGACTCTTATATACACTAATACCAGACGTGGAGTCAAGTGATAACGATACTTGGTAGATAGTCAACAAGTATGCCAGCCAGACAAGGTCAGCTTAGTTCTTCTGCAGACTGGCCTTGACAATGTCTGCCAGAAAACCTACAGCCTGAAAATGGTTGGCCATGCCTCATCATGATCTCAACCATAAATAAACCCAGACAGAAAACATACTGTTAATACCGTTTTTTCTAGTTTTACTTGTGTCTGTCTTTTTGTATAAATGAAGTTGTTAAATTGACAGATAATACAGCTCTGTGAAAAACTGAATGCTTTATTACAAGATATATTTGTGGTATTTGCTCTAGTCCTAATTGCGTATCCATGTAGTGCTATTCCTCTCTTGCCTTATATAAAAAGATACTGTTTTCATTCTCTACGTTTCATCTACTGACATTTCTAAATACGACGCATGTTGTGTTCTTATTATAATGTAACAAAGCGCAAACTAATCCAGTTAATCACATGCCAGCAGATGACCAAGTGCGTTGGGATTAACTATCTGTTGTGCCGTATATTTGAACTGCTCCTCACGCGGCAGCTACTTCAGGGGGATTCTCAGATTTCTGCAGATAAAATCTAAATCCAGCGTAGCTGAAACGTTACCGAAACCATAACTGTTTTAACAAACCTGGGCGAGATCACAGAACACAACGGGAATTAATATAGCAGCTAACTGAGTGTGTCCATGTTCTTTAGCACTAGCCTACTACCTGTCTAAGCTTCAGGTTGTTACGACACCTTACATTTCTCATCACTTTAAATCAAGGTGCTTGTAAAAACCTCACTTCTGAGTCGCAGCATTAGACCTTACCCAGCTTGCAAAAGAAAATGTCCCCAGAGCAGCTCCCATGGTTGCCGGGTTCCTGAACAGAAGCGCACAGTCTGTGTTCTTCTTCCCGTTACTTCGCTTCCGTTCTTTGCTGGTGTTTTCACTGTCGAAAGAAAATAAAGCTTCTCTGTCAGGCGGTCAGGACAGAACGACAGCGCCTCGAACTACTTCAGAGCTTTGGCTGGCTGAAGTAACGCTGGGTGACGTCATGACGTTGTTGACCTGTTGCCATTTGTACAGGCTTTGGTGACGGTATGTGGACATACTAATACGTAATTAGGTTTTCTAATTGTCATTAACGGTTTATATGTTATAAAGTATTTTAACAATATTAGAACAATGATAAAGTTATTATTAGTTAGTGGTAAAGTCTACTAGTGTTAGTGGTTTACTGTTTATTGTTTCTTCAGTCATAAGTCATACATACTCAATTTCATTTACACATAAAAGAAGCGCTTTCTATATTAATTTATTTAGGATTTGAAAAGCCTGTGTCCTTTTTACAGGTCTTTCATTCTTTCATTTCAGCCCTTCTCTTGTATGTTGTATCACAATCTCTGGCTCGCTTCCATAATGAGTAACCTGTGGAAAAATCAGCTCATATTCACCATTTTCAGTGACACTGATGTGGTTGGCAAAGGTAATGTCATAAAATGTTTTTCAGGTGACATTGCTAACAGTTGTATCACTGTGTTACCCAAGTAGTGAAATCTGTTTTCTTTGTAGTACTCAAAGAAAAAAAATATCTGCAAACCCTATTCCAAAAAGTTTCAGCAGTTGCGATTTATCCCTATGCACTCCGGATGTTATCAGTCTACACAATGGGCGTTATGAGCAGAAATCACCCCCATAGATATGAGCCAGTAGGGGCCTTCTCCACCTGCTAGTTTGTTAATATTAATATTAATAATTCAGATGGAGGGTCACTAACAGGTGGATGGGAAGATTCCAGATTCCATACAGTGATACTAGAGGCCAATGTAATGCAATTCAGTTTCAATTTAAGACTTCTTTATATGGTATCAAAAATTGTTAAAATCCATCCAAAACAACAGTGATGACAACACTCCTGGCTTGAGCGGTCAGCAACAGACGACTTCCCCCATCACCCACTTCACACCAACACCCACCAACAAAGCTATGCCTATCAACCACATTCCGGCAACTAATCAGTACTGTTGCCTGCATCAGTACTGTAATAATTACATATTGGACACCATAACTCAAGACGTACACATCACATCACAGACAACCAGTTAGACAACATAACATGCTCAAAAAGTCCACCGAAGTCGTTTTTTCTTTTCTTCTCTTCTTCTGTCCACACATGGTCAGTCAGTCATAGGCCAGAGGTTACCAGCACATAGCCTAAATATAGTCAGTCTGTGATGTATCTCTCTTAGTGTTAAAGTCAAATCAACGTAAGTTATGTCACGCTGTGTCAAAATTGTCATCATCATGGGTCAAAGGTCTCCTGAAGACGGCATATCTTTGTGACGGGTCTGCACACACGGCTGGTTGGGGTCTTAATCCAGACCTGACATACAAGCTCCTTTTTCTCTGGCACAGCTCCTGTGACTCTGCCAATAATCCAGGAACCACGAGTTGCAGAGTCATTAACTATGAGGACCACATCTCCAGGAATAAAGTTGCATTTAATCCTTCCCCATTTCTGGCACTGTTGAAGTTGTGGCAAGTATTCTTTAATCCATCTTTTCCAAAACAGGTGAGATATATATTAGACCTGTCTCCATCGTTAAGAGATTACCTTTCTGGAACAGACGGGTAACACGGGTTGGATTTGAGAAGGAGGAGGTGGTTTGGTGTTAAGGATTCCAAATCATTTGGATCAGTGGATTCCAGTGTAATGGGTCTACTGTTGAGGATGGACTACACTTCACAAAGAGCAGTTTGGAGTCCTTCTTCATCCAAATGCTGTGTCTGCAGGGTGAAATTAAGAATCTTTCTGACAGAACGACTCAACCACTCCCATGCTCCGCCATTATGCGATCCAGTTGGAGGACTAAAGAGCCATTTCACTCCCTTCAAAGACAGCGTATCAGAGATCTTTTCCTGATTTTCTTCCATAGCTCGTGTCAGGTCGCGCTCTGCTTCCACAAAGTTGGTCAAATCTGCTTTCGGGCAAGCCACCCATCTGCTGCTGGCCTGCAACTCCATGAAACGTTCTACCTTCGACATAATGTTTCTAATCAAAGTACCAGCACCAGGAATCCAGTATTTCTGATGCAGCTTCGAGAGTATGTGGTTCCTTCCACCATGACCTCTTTATGAATATGCTGTAGAATGAGATTAGAAATGTGAAGATCTTTAGCGATTATGACAGGGTGCTTTGAATTTTTTTTCCATTGCCCTACTGAGACATCTACCAACCTGCAGCACATAGTCCTCCAAAACAGGATTCACCTCATATATGTGAATGCTTTGTTTCACACTCTCTCCCCTTTGGAGGCAGGAAATTTCTTCTGCATATATTTTCCTCTGACAGAACTTGATTATTATTATTCAGTGTCATGTAGAAAAGTCTCTATCTTCATATGTCTGAAAGCAAGGTCTGCCGAGTTATGCGTTGTGTTCACATACCTCCATTGGGAGGCCCTAGAAGCCTTGAGGATCTCTGACACTCACTTCGCCACAAAAACACAGAATCAGGAAGTCTCGTTATTTATATATTTCAACACTGCGGTGCTCTCTGTCCAAAACACTGAGTTTAGGAGAAGTAGTCTTAGCTCCCTCCTCCCTTCTAGCCATATGAACTGCTGCTACCACTTCCACATTCCATGCTCGGGGATTATGACTGGTTTTAAAGGTGCCAACCGGGACTTTCCCCTTTATGAAGGAACTGAGTATCTGCGAACGACTGTTGTGCAGCAGCAGTGAGGTAACAGCGCCATACCTCTTCCCACTCGCATCTGCAAACTGGTGCAACTGAGCAGTGGTGGTCTCTCATAAATCAGGAATTCTTAAACATCACCTGATGCTGATGTTGTCTAACAGGCGTAATTCTTCCATCCAGCTTTTCCACTCTTGAGCAACTGCTGATTGAAGGATCTTGAAGGATCCTTTTGGCTGTGCAGATGACAGGAGCAAGGAACCCCAGAGGGTCATAAAAGGAGCTTACTGTGGACAGGATCCCTCTCAGGGTCAATGGTCTGTTTGGGATGGACATGCAGAACTTAAACACATCTGACTGTAGGCACCACCACACTCCCAATGCTGGCTCAACAGGTGGTTACAACCCAGGTCTCGGTCCTTAACCTTCTTTGCTCTCTCCTCCTCAGCTATCACTGCCAGAACGCTGTGGCTATTATCCACTTTGTTAAGTGAAAGCCGCCCTTGGCGCAGATGTCTCTGAAATCTGAGTTAAGAGAGATGGCTTCCTCTTCAGAGCCTATTGAAGCAAGGCAGTCGTCCACATAAAAACTATGGAATGATGTGAATCACCTGATGGCTAAAGTATGCTTTGTTGTCCTCTGTGCATTTCCGCAGGGCATAGTTAGCATAGTTTGGAGAGGACATTGCCCCAAACAAATGAACACACATCCTGTACTCTTGCATGATCTGATTTAAGCCACCACCAGACCACTAGAAAAATCTCAGTAGGGCAGTATATTCACATGCACATGCACCTGGTAAAACATAGCTTCAGTGTCAGACATCAAAACAACAGCCTCTTTCCTGAACCTTGTCAGCACGCCAATCAAATCATTTGTTAAGTCAGGACCACTCAGGAGCTGCGCGTTAAGAGAAAAACCCTGGAATGATGCTAGACTGTCAAACAACCCGCATCTTCCCCTTGGTAGGACAATACTCTAGTGCCCATCACTCAAGGCCGCTGCCTGAAGAGCCTTTCCATCTTCTGATTTAATCAGTGACCATGAGTGAACTTTATTCAATAAGCAGATGCAATCACATGTCCATTCCTAAAGTGCTCATACAGAAGAGTCTTTGCCTTTACATATCCAGCACCATCAGGCGTATGTTGACAGCTTTTAACAAGTTCATTGGGCTGCCCCTTGGTGTACTGTGCAAGATAATGCAGGCAGTTGCCAGCATCGCCAGTCTTTGCTTCTATGACCTGTTCAAATAAACACATAAAATCCTAAAAATGTAAAGGATCGCCATCAAAGGTTTGAATCTCTCTTTTGGGCAGTGAAGAGAGACTTTGATGATGGGCCGACATACAAGTTAATTCATTTTATTTTTCCATAATGGACAGCAGGTTTTCATTGGCTACAGGATTAGCAGCTTGTTGCCGAGACAAAGGTTGGATTGGTCTAAAAGTGTCAGAAGGTCCCATAAGAGTGGGTGCAGGTCTTTCTCTTTTCATACTCCGTTGTGTTGTTTTTACTTGAAGCTCTGCATTCCCAGTGACTGTCTGTGGTAAGCGTCTGTGGAACAAAAGTCTCTGCATCCGCATTAAGGATTTCGACGCTGTTTCTTTTTGTTTTAAAATATGATTCCATTCCAATGGATTTCCGTGAAGCAACGCTCCGCACAGTGGATCCAGTTCTCAGCACATTCACTTTTTCAACAGTTGCAGCTATATCTGCTTCAAACTGCTCATATCTGCTTGAAGTTGTTCTTTCTTTCTCCTCAATTGCTCCTCCTATTCTTCAAGAGAGTGTTTTTCTTTGAGCATATGTTGACGTGCGAGCAAGGCAGTCATCTGCCCTGAGATGTGCAGATGAAGTGGATGATACACTTGAGTTGGACCTACTGCCTTGATTTGACACACTATCAGATGGCAACAAAGTGCTCAAAGTGCTTTGAGTGCTCAATCATCAGTTTATGGATCAAACTTAGCATCCATCACCAGCATACAACCTTCCTCTCTCTATTTATCCAAGTCAATTTCATGTTCACACATTTAACCATTGTTAATAATTCATGCAAATCTACTTCCCACTAAACAGCTTTATCTAATGTGTCTATATCTCTCTGGATAGCTGCATCATGCTTGAAGAACCCTGAACACTTGGCTGTTCACAGACTGCTCAGTGAACTGGCAAGTTGTTACTTTCTCTGTTATCTTGAGGATTGGTTTGGATTGTTTATTGTCCAATAGGAGAACAGCTAATATTTCTATCTTTCAAATTCCTAATGAGATTTTCACTCAGTATCCAAACATGTTTAGAATTGTTAAGTTT